AAACCTCTACAAACTGATGAACAACTCGGTGTTCGGTAAAACCATGGAAAACTCGAGGAAACGTGTGACGGTCAAACTCGTGCGATCTCACGAGGAAGAAAAACTCAGGAAACTCATAGCCAGCCCGGCCTTCAACCGGAGCAAGCTATTCGATAACGACTTGGCAGCACTACACATGAACAAAAGCCACATCAAGCTCAACCGGCCCGTCTACGTGGGGATGAGCATTCTCCACCTCTCCAAACATCTCATGTACGATTTCTACTACAACGAGTAAAAAATCAATACGGCGATCGATGTGAAGTGATGTACACGGACAAGGATTCACTGCTTATGGAAATTGGTACCGAGGACGTGTACGAGGACATGGTGAAACACATCGATTTGTACATCACCAGCGATTACCCCATGACCACGCCCTACACAGCACGACCAATAAAAAGGTCGGCAAGATGAAGGACAAATGCGCGGGCACACCCATCACCGAATACGTCGGATTGAGACCCAAGATGGATTCCATCCTGAAAGCCGACAACGGCGAGATCCGAAAGGCGAACGGGGTCAAGAAATACGTGGTGAAACAACTCATCAAACACACCCTCTTCAAACAGGCTCTCTTCGATAAACGCACGTTCAAACACCCCATGAACGCGTTGGAAGTGACAAACACAACATCTACGGCATCACCCTCAACAAGACCTCGCTGTCGCCCATGGATACCAAACAATGGATTGCGAACGATGGCATCCACACTTATAGCTATGGATACCAACAGTAGACCTCGACGCGTTGGGTGTTTATAAAGGAAACTCCACTCTATGCCAGACTCCTCGATAAAAGACCTGTCGAAGCCATTCGAATGAAATCCGTGACGACCGAATCGGCTGCGCCATCGCGGGTCATCATGAGGTATCTGTAGGATAAACGTCGTGCCACAGACCCAGTATGGTTCATGAAATCGTACCCAGTCAACCGAGTGGACATCAAAGATGACAAACCGAATCTATATTACTTGCAAGACGGACCGGGTAGGGGATTCGTCCGAGAGGAATTACAAATTGTCCCTCACGACACGGTATTGCCCCCTTATTAAAGATTCGTCTTATGTGGAGATTGATCAAGAAACGGTTGTTCAGACGCATCGGGGTGGACGTCCATGGCCTCAATATTTAAGCCGCCCTGCCTGTAGGAAAGTTTAGAGTCATAAGTCGAGGGAAATTTACTAGCCTGTCCCGATAGTTTAGGTCTCATGGGCACTCCAACGCTTACAACGCCTCATGGATAAACCCTGTTGCTAGTCGATTATAGCTTGGAGACCGAGGCAATGCGATGATGCCATGTCCCGTACTCCTTAATCCACTTCGATGAGTTCATGGCAAAGTTCCATTCCTTCATCAGGGGTAGCCTAGTGGTTAAAGTGTTTGCTCGTTACGCACAAGACCTGGGATCGATACCCCACATGTGTACAATGTGTAAAGCTCATTTCTGGTGTATCCTGCAGTGATATTGTTGGAAAAAGCGCAAAAAGCGGCATAAAACTCAACTCGCTCGCTCAGTCTTTCATCACACGACAATAGAATTACGAGATGGACAAAATGTTATATTTTGTTTACCACACTGAACAATATTCCCCTGTATGTCGATGGTCTGTAAATAGTCTAGCCTGGTCTAGATAACCAGTGGTTGGTAGTGTGAGGACCGATTCATGCAGATGGGTGATTGCACACACACAAGTTACAAGGGTGTCACAACCAGTATAGATTGATGAGGGCCTGTTGAAACCGTGCCACAGAACAGTAGGAAAACAAACATACCATGAATTCCAGATGTGGTTAACACTGCATTTGAGGAGTGCTTCATGTCAATTCGTATCAGCTCGATGTTGCTGGGATAACAAAGTTATATAGGTCATACACATTTACCATCTCAGTGAGAACCCACAAGCAGGGGTATACAGTTGACAATCCCGTAACAAGGTCCAGGAAACCAGATTCAAATCAGAGTCTTGTCAGATTCCACCCACATGCAGGTGAGGTGAGGTGAAATTGGGTTTAACATCGTACTTGAGAATATTTCGCTCATATGACGACGTGCATGCGTGTGTATGTGTATGTGCGGCTGCTTGGACTAGCCCAGACTTAAGCTGGTTTTATAGTGCTAGCCCAATCAGATACCATGCCGCAGTGAAGCATGAATACCCCACTCAGACACATTATACCGACTCCGAGCCGACCAGTCCTTGTTGTACCCAATAATGCCGAGCGCCAGGCAGGGACCAACAAGTACCATATTTTAACATCTTTTGGTATGACGTGGTCGGGGCCCACATGCAGAGGCTAAGGAATGGAGTCAGAGCCATAATATTGTGTCAAACAAACGTTTCCTTATTTGCGGTCAGTATATGAAAATGGCAATTATTTGTTTCTGAGTAGTCAATAAGCAGTGTCACAGTACCCTGCTCTTATCGAAACAGTTGACCTGATTGCCACATCACCACAGAAGCTAACATTTAGAGATAAGTATTTCTTGTCATCTATTTTGTTCGGCATTCATATATCAAGACGCACAATTAGATTTTTAAAATGTACATTTCAAGTGAATATTCAAGAAAGTTTGGCCATAAAACTTTTGCAGAAAAACTCAATAAAAATTACAAAGAGGCTGACTTATGTGTATTAGTATGAAAAGAGACTGGAATTCTGCATTTTTCATGTACACTATTTGTTGTGTTCTCTTGTCTGAGATACTCAAGCTTGTCAAAATATGACCAGCTAAGCAGATTATGTCCATGAGAATTGCCGACCTAAACAGATTGTTGGTCGTCCATCTGCCTTCAAAAGCAGGCAGGATTAGGAAGCCGGCAAGACAACATGGTAGCCGGCAGACAGGGGTAAGCGAAGACAGACCAGAAGGTAAGCCAGGGCAAGGAGGGATGGACACTCAGCAGCCATCCAGCCATCTGCTGCCCAAGTGTCAACCTGACTTCACCACCTTCCTCTGGTAGTGTCTGTCGGACTCTGTCCCTGTCGGACTCTGTGTAAACTGTTCGCCCTACCTCATTGTACTGCGTGAGTAAAAACAGCCGTTCTTTGTACGCCACTACCTCGTGTTGTTACAAGAGCACTGGAGGTGTTGCATATTTATAAAATAAAATACGTTTTATCATCATGTCACCAAGCACTGTGCAAGGTTTTCTGCAATAATCCAGCGGGGGAAAGTCACGTAGTGTTAAAATTGGAAATCCTTGATTTTTGGCAGCCATCTTGAATTTTTCGGAAAATGTGCCCCAAAATCGGGCACCCCCATAAAATATGTTTTATCATGATAATCCCCAGCACTATGCAAAGTTTCATGCTTTAGTCCACCAAGTATCTATTTTCACCCTAGGCCACTGCACTATTTGTGATGTCATATCTTTTGCATGACAGTGACTAGTATGACATAACTGTAGCATGCAGCGTAGAACTAAACCTTCACGGCTCTAGAAGTACACACCAGATTTGGTTGTGCGCTCCTGAGTTCAGTGGACACGAGCACACACCTACCACGACAAACACTCCTAAAGCCACTAAACCTTCAATTCTTTATGTATATTTTTTGTCAAAACTGACCTTTTAGGTCCATTATAATACCATATAACCAACAAGTGCTACTATAAAAAAAACATACAAAAACAAAACATAAAACAAGCAAAACAAATACCACCCAAACCATCTGTTAGTTCATCCCCCTACAAATTTCCAAATTCAAAATTAATACAAATTTAATTATGCAATCCTAACATCAAATGTCTTTCAGCTAATCACCCCTCTTTCGATCAAACACTGAATGGCCTGTCGCCCCTGTGCGAAACTGTCGGAAAGCACACATTAAGTCTCCATATCATCATCTTGTCTTTAAGCTGTACAAGGATATAGAGCTACATTCTTGAAAGAAATGGCTAATATTGGTGTTTCTTCAAATCAAATTGACAACCGCTTCCAAATATTTGCACCTTGTTAACTGACTCAGTATCTTTGCTGACATCAATTCGTTTGTAATATGTTGGGAGCTAGCAACTGGTGTTTTAACAATATTCTACTTATATCCTGGTTTGTCAGCTTGACTGGGAGGAAATGCCGAAGTAATGCACGTGTCAGACATTTACCACTATGGTAAAACTGATGAGGAGAGGTATGACTAACCTTCGAACAGAAATGGGCAAACAAGAATTCTGCACAGTGCATGGCTGGCTGGCTGGCTGGCTGAGTATGGTTTTACGCCATTTTTAGCAATATTCCAGCAATATCACGGCGGGGGACACCAGAAATGGGCTTCACAGGTTGTACCCATGTGGGGAATCGAACCCGGGCCTTCGGTGTGACGAGCGAATGCTTTAACCACTTGGCTACCCCACCACCCTGCACAGTGCATGGAGGATCCTAGATACCACTGTGAGAGAGTATGGTTTTACGCCGTTTTTAGCAATATTCCAGCAATATCACGGAGGGGGACACCAGAGATAGGCTTCACACATTGTACCCATGTGGTAATCAAACCCGGGTCTTTGGCGCCACCATACCTGTATCACATGTGATGGTAGAAATAATACAACATACTCTGCGTTCGGTTCCAACTTGAGTATTGGGTAATAAAGCAAGGTAAAGCATAAAGGAACCTTCCCCTTCATTGAAATAACCCATGCTGTTGTAAGAGGCGACTAACCGACTAAGCGACTAACCGGATCGGATGCTCAAGCTTGCTGACTTGGTTGACACATATCATCATATCCCAGTTGCATAGATCGATGCTCATGTTGTTGATCACTGGATTGTCTGGTCCAGACATGATAATTTACAGACCGCCACCATGTAGCTGGAATATTGCTGAGTGCTGTGTTAAAAAACCAACCAACCAACCAACCAACCTACATTGAAAACAGTGATACGTTCATATTGTACACAGGTCAAAACAGACCAAGCATGCATAAGTGTCAGTCACTATAACAACAAATGAAATGATAAATATGGTAAAATTTTATTCAGCTCTTCTTTTTCTCATTACTTGTATGTTTTCTCTTATTAAATTGGTCTCTGACAAAGGCTATGAGTTTCTTTTCAGAAATATACACTGTTAACAGTACTACAAGTAGGCACCCAGCACCAATAGCAATATGAAGGATTCTTCTGGAAAGGCCTTTGTCACAGCAGAGAAGTTTCTGGAATTAAGAACAAAATATTGAAAATGTAAAAAATGACACAGGATTTTTAAGTATAGTCCTGTTGTTAACATGTTGGCTCTCATCCTGAAATCCAAGTTCAGTTCCCCAATGGGTACAATGTCTGTTTCAGGCGTTCACGATCACGTTATTGCTGGAATATTGTATTACAAAAGCATCATAAGACAATACTTGCGATATGGTGTGACTATTTTTCGCAACCTGAAACTCTGTCATTTGGCTGATCATGACCACAAAGATTTTAAGCCCCAAATTTAGTTCCCCATATTTAAGAAATTACATACAACTGATGACAAAAGCATTAACATAAAGGAGAACATGTAACGTGGGTCATGTTTTATTTCCTGAGCTTTATCTTATCATGTGTAATTAACTCACACATCTATAAACTTCATGCACTCCCTTAACCTAATGGGGGCAGTGGGGTAGCCTAGTGGTAAAGGCGTTCGCTCAACACGCTAAAGACCTGAGTTCGATTCCCCACATGGGTACACAGTGTGAAGCTCATTTCTGGAGTCCCCCGCCATGATATTGCTGGAATATTGCTAAAAGGAGCATAAAACTAAACTCACTCACTCACTCACTACATTCTGAAGTCCTACAAAGGGTACGTTTAAGGGAAACAGTCATTATTATGTGAAGGAAATTATCCTTACATGCCATGATATACTATGACAGAGTGAGTGAGTGAGTTTAGTTTTATGCCGCTTTTAGCAATATTCCAACAATATCAAGGCGGGGACACCACAAATGAGCTTCACATATTGTACCCATGTGGGGAATCGAACCCATGTCTTCGGCGTGACTAGCGAACACTTTAACCACTAGGCTACTTCACCATCCCACACCATGACAGAGGTTATTAAAGTAATGTTCTGGACAGAGAATTCACCCAGGGTCAGTTAAAGGCCACATGTAATGTAGGCCTGCTAAGAAGAAATATCACATTTTTGAATTATTTCCTTGGCATATAGAAAACATCTACTGCTGAAACATGTTATGTGTATCACATACAGAAGAAAAGAAAAATATTTAAAAGAAACCCGTAAAGCCATTGCATTCCAAAGAGCTCTTCAATTATGAATTCAATTAGTGTTCATTGCTTGTAAGCAAATCGTTTTGGGGTAATAAATCTTGTTGAGATATTTCTATTCATTTTAAAGCTTTTGAATATTTCGATATCAGCATGACTTATATGAGCCAAATTTCAAATTCAACCTTAATTCTTGTTATGAATATTGATACAGAACATTCCATAAGGTCATCTCAATTGCATGTTTCTGTAATTTGACAATTCACTGAAATATTCTTTATTTATTAACACCACCATTTACCAAAAAAGTTTCAGAACTTTTATCAAGAAAATATATTAAAATTTATCAATACTGAATAACAGTAAACAGAGGAGAGTGTGTGAATATTTCGTTTAAAACTGCCTTATTAACTGATGAGAAACAGCAACATTCAATAAAAATTCTTTAAAACAAAGGAAAGTATCACAAACCCTTGTATGTATCTGTTTCCAGGTACACTTTTAATTAGTTTGTAATTTTGCAATTTCTTAAATTGGGATACTTTTTCAAAAATGCTACCTCCAGTACAAATGAAAGCCAAATGCATAATGCAGGACAGCAATATGCTCCCCTAAAAGTCTTCAAAATAAATAAAGATATATCAAACCCTGGTACAGATATATTTGTACACTGCTAGTCAGATCATTATTTTGGAAAACAAAAAATAAATAAATAAAAAACAAAATTGGGGCAATTTCTTAGATGGGAATCAAATTGTTCAATAATGCTTCTTCTGGATCCAGTACATATAAAAGTCAGATGCAATATGAGCAAAACCATAAGGCCTGTGTTACTGTACAGACCTGAAGAGAATATTTGTGATACCATTGGCATATCATTTGTCACTTAAATATTGATGAATCGAAAGAATGCACAACTTGTCAGGAAAATTGAGACAAACAAGTGAGTTTTTTAGTAATTTCTAATGTGTTCCAATTTTGATACTCAACAACAAAAAATATTTCGTTAAACACACAACATAACATCTTACAGTCTTGTTCACAGTTATCATGAACCAGGCGAAATCCCAAATATTTTGTAACAAAAAAAACAGTAGACCACTGTAATGAAATGTGTTTTTCTCTATTTTTTTGTTGTGATCTGCTACAGGCGAAAACTCAACAATAAATATCTGAACTATTCAATATATTGGACCTGACCCTGATGTTGCAAAGTTTATTACGAACAATGAAGATCCAGGTTAGAATTGGTCTTCAGGAATGAGTGAATATGGTTTTATGCCGCTTTTGGACTTGACTATCTGGTCCAGATTCAAATTTCAATTATTTTCTGTTTGTTTACACACTGTTGTCATATATTTGAAATTTTATTTTTGGGTGCTGAACAATCAAACAAAAAACAAACTTAGAATGAATATAGTTTATGCCACTTTTAGCAATATTCCAGCACTATCCTGGCAAGGTACACCAGAAATGGGCTTCAAACATTGTAACCATATAGGGGATCGAACCCGGGTCTTCAGCGTGAAGAGCGGATACTTTAACCATGAGGCTACCCCACCGCCCCTGGTTTTCAGGAACCAATGCTTGCCATATGAGGCACTTAACAGGGAAAGCATGTCAATGAAGAACACTTGTGCGGATCCATTTTCTAAAAGGCATTGTGTATTCACATGATCGTCTGGTCCAGATCTGATTATTTACAAATAACATATTTTAAGTGGAACATTGCTGAGTGTGGTGTTTAACAATGATCAAACAAAACAGTCATTACCTCTGATGTGTACATGATGAGGTGGCTCCCCCCAAGGCTGACCAGCACCAGGAGGGAGGGGCGGCCTTCCCACAGGGGCTGGGTAGAACTCTGCCGGTAATACCCCCGGGTGAAATACACACTGGAAATGTATTGTGTAAAATGTCAAGAGAAACAATACTTTCTATGATCTACAACTTACAGATACTTTATATAATGCTGAAAATATGGTTTGTGTGAGTGAGTGAGTGTGGTTTTGAGTGAGTGAGGGTTTGAGTGATTGAGTGAGGGTTTGACTGAGTGAGTGAGGGTTAGAGTGACTGAGTGAGGGTTTGACTGAGTGAGTGAAGGTTAGAGTGAGGGTTTGAGTGAGTGAGGGTTTGAGTTAGTGAGTGAAGGTTTGAGTGAGTGAGTGATGGTTTGAGTGATGGTTTGAGTGAGTGAGTGATGGTTTGAGTGAGTGAGTGAGGGTTTGCGTTAGTGAGGGTTTGAGTAAGTGAATGGGGATTTGAGTGTGTGAGTAAGAGAGGATTTGAGTGAGTGAGTGAAGGTTTGAGTGAGTGAGTGAGGGTTTGAGTGAGTGAGTGAGGGTTTGAGCAAGTGAGTGAGGGTTTGAGTTAGTGAGGGTTTGAGTGAGTGAGTGGGGGTTTGAGTGAGGGTTTGAGTGTGTGAGTGAGTGAGGGTTTGAGTGAGTGAGTGAGGGTTTGAGTGCGTGAGTGAGTGAAGGGTTTGAACGAGTGATGATTTAAGTGAGTGAGTGAAGGTTTGAATGAGTGAGTGAGGGTTTGAGTGAGTGTGTAAATGAGGGTTTGAGTTAGTAGTGAGTGGGGATTTGAGTGAGGGTTTGAGTGTGTGAGTGAGTGAGGGTTTGAGTGAGTGAATGAGGGTTTGAGTGCGTGAGTGAGTGAAGGGTTTGAACGAGTGATGATTTGAGTGAGTGAGGGTTTGAGTGACTGAGTGAGTGAAGGTTTGAGTGAGTGAGGGTTTGAGTTAGTGAGGGTTTGAGTGAGTGAGTTAAGATTTGAGTGAGGGTTTGTGTGAGTGAGTGAGGATTTGAGTGAGTGAGTGAGGGTTTGAGCGAGTGAGGGTTTGAGTGAGTGAGGGCTTGAGTGAGTGAGGATTTGAGTGGAGTGAGTGAGGGGTTTTGAGTGAGGGTTTGAGTGAGTGAGTGTTTGAGTTAGTGAAGGTTTGAGTGAGTGAGGATTTGAGTGAGTGAATGAGGGTTTTGAGTGCGTGAGTGAGTTAAGGGTTTGAGTTAGTGATGATTGAGAGTGAGTGAGTGAGGGTTTGAGTGAGTGAGGGTTTGAGTGGAGTGAGGGTTTGAGTTAGTGAGTGAGGTTTGAGTGAGTGAGGATTTGAGTGAGTGAATGAGGGTTTGAGTGCGTGAGTGAGTTAAGGGTTTGAACAGTGAGGATTGAGTGATGATTTGAGTGAGTGAGTGAGGGTTTGAGTGAGTGAGTGAGGGTTTGAGTTAGTGAGGGTTTGAGTGAGTGAGTGGGGGTTTGAGTGAGGGTTTGAGTGTGTGAGTGAGTGAGGGTTTGAGTGAGTGAGTGAGGGTTTGAGTGCGTGAGTGAGTGAAGGGTTTGAACGAGTGATGATTTAAGTGAGTGAGTGAAGGTTTGAATGAGTGAGTGAGGGTTTGAGTGAGTGTGTAAATGAGGGTTTGAGTTAGTAGTGAGTGGGGATTTGAGTGAGGGTTTGAGTGTGTGAGTGAGTGAGGGTTTGAGTGAGTGAATGAGGGTTTGAGTGCGTGAGTGAGTGAAGGGTTTGAACGAGTGATGATTTGAGTGAGTGAGGGTTTGAGTGACTGAGTGAGTGAAGGTTTGAGTGAGTGAGGGTTTGAGTTAGTGAGGGTTTGAGTGAGTGAGTTAAGATTTGAGTGAGGGTTTGTGTGAGTGAGTGAGGATTTGAGTGAGTGAGTGAGGGTTTGAGCGAGTGAGGGTTTGAGTGAGTGAGGGTTTGAGTGAGTGAGGATTTGAGTGAGTGAGGGTTTGAGTGAGTGTTTGAGTTAGTGAAGGTTTGAGTGAGTGAGGATTTGAGTGAGTGAATGAGGGTTTGAGTGCGTGAGTGAGTTAAGGGTTTGAACGAGTGATGATTTGAGTGAGTGAGTGAGGGTTTGAGCGAGTGAGGGTTTGAGTGAGTGAGGGTTTGAGTTAGTGAAGGTTTGAGTGAGCGAGGATTTGAGTGAGTGAATGAGGGTTTGAGTGCGTGAGTGAGTTAAGGGTTTGAACGAGTGATGATTTGAGTGAGTGAGTGAGGGTTTGAGTGAGTGAGGGTTTGAGTGAGTGAGGATTTGAGTGAGTGAGGGTTTGAGTGAGTGTTTGAGTTAGTGAAGGTTTGAGTGAGTGAGGATTTGAGTGAATGAGGGTTTGAGTGCGTGAGTGAGTTAAGGGTTTGAACGAGTGATGATTTGAGTGAGTGAGTGAGGGTTTGAGTTAGTGAAGGTTTGAGTGAGTGAGGATTTGAGTGAGTGAGTGAGTGAGGGTTTGAGTTAGTGAGGGTTTGAGTGAGTGAGCATTTTAGTGAGTGAGTGAGTGAGGGTTTGAGTGAGTGAGTGACTCTGTGATGTGACTGACACTGCACTTCAACTGGCACTGTGTGTAAGCTGTGCAAGCTGTGTAAACTGTTCTCACCTGTGTAGGATCCGGACAAGCATGTTGAAGCAGTTAGCCAGGATGAAGCCTACACTACCCAGCAACTTGGTCAGGAGCCAGGAGGAGAGGAGAAAAACTCCAGAAAATATAAACATCTTCTTGTTGTACCTTGGGATAAATACAACAGTAAGTCACTTCACAAATACAGGTACAGTTTATCTTACTTTCCTAGTTCATGCCTCCTAACATTGTCAACTGAAGATGGGCCACATGATGTACACTTGAATACCCAATGACTTGCACATGTTAGATCGCTTCAGATGTAAGGAAGGAGTAATAACAAAGTCAGCAGTCTAGACTACCAGTTGTCCAACTTTCATTCTGTTGAAGCTACGGTGGCTGAGCAGGTTAGGCGGCTGACTTTGTGTGCTGGCAATTAGGTTCCTGACTCTGATGGTGTGGGTTTGAATCACTGATGGGACTCAACCCAACAAAAGTCCTATAATCTGTACTTCACTAAGAAAGTGTAATCCCAAATATAACATATGTTACATAATAAGAGTTGGGGGTGAGGTGAGGTGAAATTGGGTTTAACGTTGTGCTTGAGAATATTTCGCTCATATGACGACGTGCATGCGTGTGTATGCGTATGTGTGGCTGCTTGTACTAGCCCAGACTTAAGCTGGTTTTATAGTGCTAGCCCACTGAGATACCATGCCGCAGTGATGAATGAATACCCCACTCAGACACATTATACTGACTCCGAGCCAACCAGTCCTTGTTGTACCCATTAATGCTGAGCGCCAGGCAGGGACCAACAAGTACCATATTTTAACGTCTTTTGGTATGACGGGGATCGAACCCGCGACCTTCCGCTCTCCGGGCGGATGCTCTAACCACTACACCACGGAGGTATAAGAGTTGGATGATGGATTGGGCAGTCTGGATTGGTGACTTGGTCTATTGCGAGTCACCCATCCTCAATGACATAGTCAATACTTACAATATCTCTGCATTTACTGTCCCGATTCACATATTTACAAATCATGATCACATTGCATGACTCCTGCTGATGTGTAACGTTAAACAGAAAGCAATAAACCACATTGGATGTCTTAATACATTATCAGAATTGTATGGAATTGTAGCAACAGAGAAGATATTCAGCAAACTAAAACACTAAAATACTAAACTACTGCCATTCAGATAGAATTCTTTCTGAATATCTTCATAAATATTGCCATCATTTAAAATAAATATTCAAAATGTAATTTTCAGCCTTTCTAAGAATATTTTAACTTTATACTTGTAACATCTACCTGTCTACATCTTCCTTGCTCATGGTTGCAAAGACAAACCCTTCTGTGATGCCGTTGATGGCGATGAAGAGGACATACAGACAGTACCACCGCAGGAGAGAGGGCCCTGAGAGAAAAACATACAAAGTGAGGGAGTTTATAGAGAAACAAGAGCACATACAGAAAGTACCACCGCAGGAGAGAGGGCCCTGAGAGAAAAACATACAAAGTGAGGGAGTTTATAGAGAAACAAGAGCACATACAGAAAGTACCATCACGGCCCTGAGAGTGAGGGGAGTTTATAGAGAAACAAGAGCACATACAGAAAGTACCATCACGAAGGCTGTGGAAAGCTTAGTGAGTGAGTGAGTGAGTGAGTGAGTGATGCAACTCTGCAAATGAACTGTTCTGCATCACGCAACACATGACTGGCCCCTTCATTGTTACATTTGTCTACACTAAATCAAGTGACATATGGACATTGAATGTTTTTGGGTAGAATAAAAATAGGAATTTTTTTCTGTTCAGGTTACATTAAATCATTCACTGGTATATATAATCATTATTCATCATTTCAATATCCTCACTTCATCTTAGTATTTCTCTTCTCTTCCCATGCCAAAGAAACATCCAGGATTTTGAAAATGGACAAGTGAACACAATACACAATCCAAAGGGAATTGAAAGTAAATGTTTCAAAAAAGAAAACAAGATTAATGTGTAATGTGTCCGAAAAAATTATGCACACAATGCATAACACCTCCTACAAATCCATTTCATGAATGTACAAAAGTCCATTTAGGAATGTGTGTGATTCAACGGTATCTTGACACCTCCACTCCCAACACCCACTGAAACCAATAATCACTGCCAGTAAAAATATAACTCCCAAACTCTAGATTGCTCCAAATATGATTTAATACTAGTACGATGATCAGCAATTATCAATACTTCAGGAAAGATAACATTTAAATTCCTTGACTGGGATATAGATCTTGAATAAATGACAGTGTTTTCTTCATTCTTCTTAAGTCCATTATCTAATAAATAATTCAGATGTTCATGACAATGCTACGTTAGAAATATATGGGGCCACTTAAAACTATAATTTGGTTGGCTGCTCGAACTAAGTTCTATCTTCTGGAAAATATGAATGATTATTCAATATTTAATTCATAATAGGCTAATATTGGACCAGTGCCAAGAACCTGTACAAACAGGTGCCTACTGTATGCTGAAGAAGACAGCTGAAATACTGGTGTCGTGAAGAAAGATTTCAGCATCTGCATTACAATGTCACAAAATTGTAAATAAGTTCTTTAAATGACCTGTTCTGACCTACCAAAATCCTCTTATACCAAAAAATGTAGATTGAGCCATTACAATTGCAGGGGCATATCTACCATTATAAGAAAAAGCCTGGGCTTACACATGATTTTTGCTAAAAAGGTTGAACAAGCCCTCAATACTATCTAAATATAATTTTTTGCAACCAATAAGGCTTACACGAAAAAATTGGCTTGCTACGTGCCTGAAATTGTGAACTTGCATGCAGCCAAAAATGTACAGTTCAAGGTGACTATTTGAGAAAAGTGTGAAGCCAATTTCTGGTGTCCCCCCATCATAATCACATCAGAATTTACTCACACAACTCATTTACTCACTAAATATACATTATTATTCAGTAATACAGTAAATGCTCATTGATTGTGTAACCTTGGGGGAAATCTTGGTTACATGGAGACACTGAAACCAAACCTATGCAAAATAATTCAAAGCAAAATGTCTTGGAATATCACAGCAAGGACGGCTGCCTACAAGAACCAACTTACCTGCCCCTGAGCTGAGAATACTTCCTCCATAGAGATCTAATGCCAGGAAGGAATATGACTGACCAAACACCAGGATTGTTAGACCAATCAGGGTGACTGTCTTCAACACATACGCCAGTACCTGGCTGCACAGGAATGCTGAATCCTACAAAACAAGGTACAGTAGATGCTGCAGTTAACTGTAATGCCTATTTCATCTTCATCTCCTTCCGTATTTAACCTGCAGTACAACACGGATATAACAACCTGTAGGGACCAACAAAACCTATTCATTACATCCATGTTTATTATTCACAAAATGTCTGCCATCTTGGATTTTGTTACCAAAAATAAACAAAGACATGGTTGCACTTTCAAATCTTTATTGTGTTCACTTTCAACATTTTGAATACATATTGTCATAAAATAAATCACTCTTTGATTTTTTTATGCACGGAACCAAAGTCAGTTGCAATGCATGATCTCTTCATAATCGTGTTTGAAGTTGACTTTGGAAGATAAGATTCAATGGGGATGTCTTTCTTTGATTTGTTATCACATAGGCCAAAATATTGCCTCCTGTTATCGCCAGCTACCTAATGTAACCTGGAATCTAACAGATGAGACATCAGAAGTGTACACCCTTCCATGTTTCACATTCTTGATCTGCCGCTGTGATTTATCCTCAGACCCGTGAAGATCCAGGTTAGAAATGGTTTTTACTAACCCATGCTTGTCGTAAGAGGTGACTAACAGGATCAGGTGGTCAGGCGCACTGACTTGGTTGACACATGTCATCGTATCCCAATTGCCTAGATTGATGCTCATGCTGTTGATCACTGGATTGTCTGGTCCAGACGCGATTATTTACAGACCACCGCCATATAGCTGGAATATTGCTGAGAGCGGCGCTAAACAACAAACCAAACAACCAAATCTTATCTTCGACTGTGAACAACCCACCTGCTTCTGTTGGTGAACGGGGATACCTCGCACCAGCAGCTGAGAGAAGAACAGGTTCCCACTCTCCTCGATAGGTTGGAAGATGAACCTGGCAGCCATGGAGCCAAGGTTGTTAATGACGTCATACACACCTGAAAATATCATCAGCTGATTTAATACAAAAGTAACACACTGGATGTCATAAAAACCCTGATAAAGTCATAATTTCAAGCCATGCCCAACTGATGAATTCATAATTTGATATTATAAACAGCTGATGAAGTCACAATTTGATGACATACACAACTGATAAAGTCATAATTTGATGGCATACATAACTGATAAAGTCACAATTTGATGACATACACAACTGATAAAGTCATTATTTCATATCATAAACAACTGATAAAGTCACAATTTGATATCATACACAACTGATAAAGTCATTATTTCATATCATAAACAACTGATAAAGTCATTATTTCATATCATAAACAACTGATAAAGTCATTATTTCATATCATACACAATTGATAAAATCGGGGGTTTTAAGCCATTCACACCTGATGAAAATAATTTGTTGCCACACAACTAAGTCATAACTATCATCATATCATCACTATCTTCATACCAGCAAGCATGTCATGACACATGATACACCTTGCACATCTTATCAGACTCTGTGGTCTGTCATGCATGGCGGAACTTAATTCTTAGATAATACAAGTCCTGAATAAATAATGACATCATCATTCATTAAATGTCAAGATCTGTAACTTGATTCCACAACTTGACGACAACCCAGAACAAGACTAAGATTTTAACTCTGAATATCAATTACGATTATTACATTTAAAATGTAATCTATTTACCAAAAAATTGATCAAGATTTCTGTGCTTTTGTTGAACATAAATTAAGCAACAATGTCGAGAATCTAAATGTTGTTTCCTGACTTGAAAGCTGGAACAGATAATGATTAATTCATTGAGATCTAACCAGTTAACCCTAATCAGTTAACCCTAATCAGTTAACCCTAATCTGATGTGAAAGAGCAGTGAAACAGTACCTTGATCAGCGAACGTGAGAGCTCCAACGAATGTCATCACATATTTCTCCCCTGAACAGAAAAAAAACAAAACATTCTTATAGTCACTGTGATACACAGAAGATGGTAGTTCCACTTGGAAACAACAACAGTTTTTATGATTACACAATGCTAAGAAAGTGTTATCCCAAATATTGTCACATGTCATTCACAGTAGAATCGTATCCATGCCATCAATTACAGTGAGTGAGTGACTTTGGTTTTACGCCGCTTTTAGCAATATTCCAGCAATATCACGGCGGGGGACACCAGAAATGAGCTTCACACATTGAACCCATGTGGGGATTCGAACCCGGGTCTTCGGCGTGACGAGCGAACGCTTTAACCACTAGGCTACCCCACTGCCCCTCAATTTCAGTAAGGAAAGACAACAATATATGGATGAACAAATTCTTTAGTGAAGCAATGTCATCACTTGCTTGATAACAGTGTTAGAACCTATACATCATTCTCACTGTAAAAAAGGAGTTGTTCATTCATATATTGTAATCCTTCCTTGCTGCTCCAACTTCTAAATAACTCTCAAAGAAGTTGTCTTTTTTCAGGGTTCAGATATTCTTTGTTGGGACAAAACAGCACCTTTAAAGTAAAAGTGTTTTGTTTAATATCATCACAACTTAATGGTTCTCATAATAGTATAAGAGAGCGAGTGCGTTTAGTTTCACGCCACACTCAGCAGTACCCCAGCTATATGGCGGCGGTCTATAAATAATCAAGTATGGATCAGACAATCCAGTGATCAACAGCATGAACATCGATCTAGGCAACTGAGATATGATGACATGTGTCAGCGAGCCTGACCACCTGATCCTGTTAGTCACCTCTTACGACAAGCATGGGTTACTGAAGATCAATTCTAACCTGGATTTTCACGGCAATAATAGTTTCAGGTTGGGTGAGCTTTCATATCTTCTACGTGTAGGGATAAAGCAGCACACATAAGTGTTTATCAATAATAATGAGGACTAAGAGGAATCATATCATTTGAGTGAAAACATAAAACCATAGTACCATAGATACAGAAGCTCACTTCAATCACTGAGATAATACTTAAGTGGTAAAGATAACACTTCAGGCAAACAATGTATTTCATCTAAAATACATAATACACAACAACATTATACATTTATTTCTGATTTCCCTAATATCTAAGATCTTGATCAAATTTACTCAGAACGTTTTCTTTTCTTATTGATTTTGAGTGAGTCAGTATGGTTTACGCAGCTTTTAGCAATATTCCTGCAATATCACGGCAGGGGACACCAGAAATGGGCTTCACACATTGCACCATGTGGGGAATCAAACCCAGGTCTTCAGCGTAACGTGCAAACACTTGAACCACTAGGCTACCCCACCGCCCCTGTTGATTTTGATACTGATAGTGAATACATAAACTGATTAATGACCTTCTCATGAGTCTTGCACAGAATCAAGTTCACCCTGTGTCATGATCATCAGTGGTTGCACAAAGAATAAGCAAAGTATGAAGCAGTCAAACAAGGATTGAGTGAGTGAGTGAGTTTTACGCCACACTCAGCAATATTCCAGCTATATGGTGGAGGTCTGTAAATAATCGGGTCTGGACCAGACAATCCAGTGATCAACAGCATGAGCATCGATCTACGCAACTGGGATACAATGACATGTGTCAATCAAGCCAGCGAGCCTGATCACATAATGCGTTAGTCACCTCTTATGACAAGCATGGGTTACTGAAGCCCAATTCTAACCCTAATTGTCACAGGTAGTCAAGCAAGGAATACAGCAAATCTATGTTAATACATAAGAAAAAAGTGAATATTAAAATGAGAATAAGGGAATATTTGCTATGAACAAACCAAAAGAACAACAAAGCAACTTTTCAAAATAGTTTCATCACTCCCAAAATGGGCTTCATTTCATGGTCTTTGAATGGCATTTAGAAGTGATACACATAAGGAAGGGAGTTTTTATAGATGTCAACTTCTTTATCATGAGGAACATAACGTTTCAGATTATATCCTTACTCCTTCATTTCAGGGTTCGGTATGCACCATGTAATTGTTAGGCAACAGTTCATGTATGGATGTCCTGTGGTTTCCTCCAACCTACAGGACCCGTGAAGATCCGGGTTAGAATTGATGTTCAGTAACCCATGCTTGTCGTAAGAGGCGACTGACGGGATTGGGTGGTCAGGCTTGCTGACTTGGTTGACACATGTCATCTCATCCCACTTGCGTAGATCGTTTCTCATGTTGTTGATCACTGGGTTGTCTGGTCCAGACTCGATTATTTACAGACAGCCGCCATATAGCTGGAATATTGCCGAGTGCAACATTAAACAAACAAACAAACAAACAAACAAACAATCAAACCTTCTGTGAGGAGCTGTTTGAGCAGGGACTGCTGGAAGAAACTCCCCACTAGCCCGGTCAGCTGACGGTCAAAGTATGGCTGAAATAGCACACATGGAGTGAACAATAATTCTTTAATTAATAATTAAGCAATATTCAAACAATATCAGTGACAACAGAAATGAGCTTCATGGAATGACCCAATTTGTGACTAAAACATGGATTCTCAGGATGTCAAATGAAACATTTCAACATCAGACTACAGTGAGAAACAACATGGAGGACGGCATATTCAGAGTGAATATGGTTTAAATCTGCTTTTAGCAATCTCCAGCAATATCACATTGTATTCAAGAGAGGAATCGAACCAGGGTCTTAATTGTGAAGAAAACTCTAACAGTCATAAAAACAGCAACATTTACATGATCATTTGTTAAAGGTCACATGCAACGTAAAACACAACTTTGCAGATTCTGATACCTTTCGGTATGGACTTACGGAACAAATCGTCAAAAATGCAAATTCAACTTATAAAGTTAAAAAATAACGCGATGAAAAAAAGCGCGCGAAATCGGAGACTTTTCTGGGGAAAACGGGTTTCACACGTGCGCAGTGAAATAGGTTCGCGCAGCTTGGAAGCGGGTTGTCGGGTATTTTTCTAATGTTTTGTTGATATCTCACAGGCTCAAGCTTTTTATATGTTATGACAGTAAATTAACTGTTTATATAATTTCATTTGTCTATTTCACCACACGTTCTTCTTACCGAGTCACTTGCTCAGTTCGATACTTGAAAGCAATGTCATTATTTAGCGTTGTACAGAATTTCTAACTGTGATATAGATATGTCGTTGTCACAGACAAAACTCAATGTCTTGTTTTATTGACACCTACCTGTGTGTCTGCCTGCCTGTCTGACAATATTCAATACACAGCTGCTATCACTGACCACATGCAATTTGAACTTAACACCAATCAGGCTATACACCATAAACAAAATGCATTGAGTTATGGCCCGAGTTCGGTCTCTGTCACATTATGTAATTACACAGACAGGCAGGTGTGATACTTGAACACATGACATGTTATGATGTCTGTTGATTGCAAAATGTTATACACAAAAAATGAGCATGTATTTTCAAAACCCAACATCTCTATATATACACACACAATGAGCCGTGAAGGCATCTGCAAATGAACCAGCCGTTACACTTGAGTGCACACCCACCCGCTCTGACTGGGTTCGGTATCCCGGCTGCTTCGTTTCTTGGGAAGTAAACCGAAGTACACAATTTTGCAATTTTGATTTGCGATTGTACGCTTATAATTTTGTTTATATGTTTTTTCATTACCAGCAATGTATATTATATGTCATGAATAAGTGATAATTGTGTTTTAATTATGTTTGATTTTTTGGTTGCATGTGACCTTTAAACAACTTTTCCCTTTCTCGTTGCCAGTGTCTGAAATTATAGTGACGATTTAGTATGGACAAATAAATAACTTTCATGTCACTGAAGACAATTTGTTGCTTTCAAAGGTACATGTATATTTATTTAACATTATATCTGTACGACTTTGCAGCAAAAAAACTATAGCTGAGCAGACTGGGCACTAAGGGACATAACTCCAATTTAAAACCACTGAGGCTGATATTGATTGCATCGAAAAGAAATATCAGCCTGTCTGAATCCTGACTCTGTCTCCCAAACACTGTGCTAGGTGTATGATATACATTGATAATCCTAATTAACAATATTTTTTAGTTATGATACACTCATTTGTACACTTGTCAAATTTGTAGTTGTTCTAGGATATATCCTGTTTTAAAAGCATATCTATATACATATATATATCTTCACACTCTTAACAATATTCACAAATATTCATATTCCTTAAAATCTGATGAATACAGGTCAAGAATCAATTACACTTTCTAAATAATAAGTTTCAAATGTATTGACTTTCTGAGATGCCACAAGTTATCTCCCTTTATGCAATGTGCATCGCTAGTTCTTATCATCATATTATCTCTGTATCCATGTGATATAACATAGTAACAGTGACCAGATCCACAAAGCATTCGTAACATTACGACCTGTCGTAACTCTATAGTTTATCATAGGCTTACGAATGTAAGTAGCGCTAAGAACGCTTTGTGGATCGGGATCCAGGAGAGTAACAAGGTAGTGATAAGACTGATGAAATAGTGACAAAACAGTGACGACAGATTGTCTTCAGGTGTATTCCACCATAGGAACACTTAGACATAACTAAAGAAACATCAGCACTTTACAGTTCCTTATGAAATAATCAGTATATTTCAGTGGAACATGTAAAAACGGAAACTTCTAGTACTATTTCTGGGATGAGTCCCATCCATGATTCAACCCCACACTCTCAGAGTCATGCACCTAATCGCCAGCACACCTTGCTAACAACTTGCTAAAGTTAAATGATGACAAAACTGAGGTGATGGTTATTGGATCCAGGCAAATGCAAAAAACAAATTACCACCAAAACTGTTCTGGTAGCAGATGCAGAGATACAAGCTGTCGACTCTGTTAAAGACCTTGGAGTTACACTTGACTCACACCTGGCGATGGACACTCATGTAAATCAACTCTGCAGAATATGCTTCTTTCATCTACGAGCCATTGGCAGAATACGCCATCTCATCAGTCGTGATGCAGCACACGGTCTGGTCCAGGGACTTGTTATATCAAGAATTGATTACTGCAATAGCCTCCTTTTTGGTATTTCTCAGAAGCTGCTATCAAAATTGCAAAATGTCCAAAATACAGCCTCCCGAATCATAAGCAGAACTTCAAAGCTCACACATAACACCTGTCATGAAAAACCTCCACTGGCTGCCTGTTAAATCAAGAATTGACTTTAAAATATTGTGTTTTGTCTACAAATGCCTCAATGGCATAGGCCCAGAATACCTGAAGGAACTCCTTACCCCGCACACTCCAGAAAGACAGCTCCGTTCTCAGAATCTGAACCTACTCTCTGTGCCTCGGTTCAAACTGCAAACTTTTGAAGGAAATCCTTTGTCTGCTCTGCCCTCTACTCTGGAACTCTCTCCCTATCACCATTAAATCAGCAGTTGACTTTTATTCCTTCAAACGACTTCTCAAGACTCACCTGTTTTCACTGCATTATGACTAGCAACTAGTCCCTTATTGTATATATGTATTATTATCCACTCACTTTGTTAGCGCTTTGAGCATGGGCCTTGTGCATGGAAAAGGCGCATTATAAGTTCACATTTATTATTATTATAGCACACAAAGTCAGTGATCTAACCCACTCAGCCATCGTAGCTTCCTGACTTTGTGTGCTGGGGATTACGTGCATCATTATGAGAGTATGGATTCCAATCACTGATGGGACTCTACCACCCAAAAGTACCAGAAAAAGAAGAAAAAGTACCTGAATCTGTACTTTACTAAGAAAGTGTACATCCCAAAGATAACATGTTACATTGACCACTTTCTGAAAAGCAGTGCATTTTCACAGATTTTGACAGATTCTTCTGTATGTGATGAGGAACAAATACTCACCTTCCCATTTATCCTCTGGGGGAAAAAGTCCCTCACAGACTTCAGAGGGAAATCCTCGTCTTTCTTCTTGGTAACATAGACTGTGAAGTAGGCGTAGTAGACGACACAGTAGACAGCCGCTCCTGTCACCTGAACATTGAAGGACTTATAGGCAAGTGATGATTGGCAACATAGACAAAGCAGGAGTGAGTGAGTGAGTGAGTGAGTGAGTGAGTGAGTGAGTGAGTGAGTGAGTGAGTGAGTGAGTGAGTGAGTGAGTGAGTGAGTGAGTGAGTGAGTGAGTGAGTGAGTGAGTGAGTGAGTGAGTGAGTGAGTGAGTGAGTGAGTGAGTGAGTGAGTGAGTGAGTGAGTGAGTATTGTCGAACCTCTGTTTAACAATATTGATACAATATCTTTTAGCAGCATTTAGATGTTATTGATGACCAAGATACTTTATGGATTTAAGCTTCTTTATTCTTTCCCACACGACATTTCGGAATCATTACAGATCCCTTCATCAGGTGAAGTGACAGTTGACACTATGACGTCGACACTATGATGTCATAACTGCGTAACGATCCCGAAACGTTGTGTGGGAAAGAATAAAGAAGCTTAAATCAAATAAAACTTTATTAAAATGTCTTGGTACTATTGATACAGCTAAGAAGGATAAGACTGACTGAGTTTAGTTTTTCGCCGCATTTAGCAATATTCCAGCAACATCATGGCGGAGGACACCAGAAATAGGCTTCACACATTGTACCCATGTGGGGAATCGTACCAGGGTCTTCGGTGTGACAAGCCAATGCTTTAACCATTAGGCTACCCCACAGCCCCCAGAAGAATAAGAAGAACTGCACAGATTCATGTGGCAGGGTATGATGTCATGTTCTGATAGGCATATGATGTCAACTTACAACAGTATATTTAATTATTTCTCACTCTGATAAAAACAATTCTTCATAAAACTTTTAACTTAATCCAACAATTGTAGACTGTGTACCTGTTGTACGATGGTCATCTTCAGAAACAGAGGATACAAACCGACCTTCCGTGTAATACCATATTTATCAAACAAGTTAACGTTTGGGTATCAGAGGAGCGAAAGTGAGTTTGATACTTAATCCTTCACGAGTTTAATAAAAATGGTATTTCACGGAAGCGAGTTTAGTATTCTGTTTATTACTCTCAAACTTAAATTGATAGAAACTATCTACAGTGTGATGACTCTCAGCTTTCCACGAGTCAAGCAAGGTCAAGCATTGTGACGTTATAACTGTAAACCATTATGATGTCACACGTCCGGCATCTCGCCACGTAATTTATTAAACAGTGGTACCTCCTGATAAGCTATCAGCAATGATAAACAAACTGGAAGTGAAAACAAAAGTGAAAGCGGATGAATGTAAGCTGAGCATGCGCGGAAACAGCAGTAGTGACGAACAGACATGTGGTGACAAAGTGTGTTGGTAAAAACGAGTGACGAACAAGTGAGTGAGTGCACTTATTACCTTCAACGGCTGAGGAATAAATACTTATACCTACTGACTTGGGCCTACGTGCACAGAGTGATCTGAAAGCTACAATGATTATAACCCCCATCTCTAACATAGACTTAACACGGTCTTAGCACTAGGATAGCTGTGTGCAAGTGGGCATACTGTGTATTACTCTGTTTTTGCATAATCAACACATATTTCATTGACATTAAAAGTTGTTCACGATGGGGGCATGGGTTGATATACCCTCGATGTTTGTTTATGTTAAACAAACATCGAGGGTATATCAACCCATGGGCCCGGAGGGACCAGTGAACAACGTATTTATCTTACCGAACACCTTAATGTTAATTTTGAATTGTTTGAAGCATGGGTACAAATCTTTTTGTAGCCATCGCTAGATTTTGCTGACAAGAAAAACAGATTTAGAGTTATCTCCCTTCCATCGATTTGCATTCGCAAAACATCGGTAATTTCCGTACATCATACGTGATTCAATGTTATTCGAGATAAAGAATTACTACCAGGAAGTACCAAATGAGTTGCCATTGACAGCGGGGTACATTGAAATGTTACTCGCTTGTAAGCGGGGTACATTGAAAATAATAGAAGAGCGCTCAGCCAATCAGAAAGCGACATTTATGTGTGAGGTAAGAAAATACTGAATCTTCCCTACCTACTTCAGCCTTATTTTCAACAGATTACATGTGTCAGAGATTCAAAGGGTGCAATAAATGCTAGTATGTAATGAGATAAATGATTTCCATTACATACCTGAGCAATGCAAAATGCCAGTAGTCCAAGAGATGGGAAGAAGTATATGAGCAGCACAGTGAGGACACACTTAGTGGTCTGATTTGCCCCGAAGGCCAGCACCTGGAAGTAGTGACCATGTGCAGTTTTACACGTCATGTATATACTTTTCAAAATGTCGCCAGATTACAATTTCTGGTACAACAAAAGGTTACAAATAACATTCAACATTCTGACCCCACATCATTATATCATAGTTATGGTTATGATAGATAGTGTTGGGAATCGGAAACAAACCCACTATCGATTATCGGAGGATTGTGGTGAACGATTATTGATTATAATCGAAGTACATACATTTTTAATGTTATCACCAATTTCAAGGGTTTTTCCCCAAGTTTTTTCTAATGAATGTTTTTTATAACTAATACTGTCAGGCAATGACATACATGCATGCAAGAAAGACACTGGAATTGTAATTAAACAATAAATGTGGTTAAAATGTTACTATGCACATAGCTTTACGCTGTTGAGTGCATGTTTGTTCGTGAATATTTGTCAAATTTAATTTTTACTTTACTTCATTCAAGTGTGTTATACTAAAACAACAAAATTCAGATTAATTAAAAATATGTTTTTTACAATCGATAATCAATTTTAATCCTTCTTTCGATCGATTTTCGATTATTTTCGATCATCGGAACACCACTAATGATAGAAAACATTGTTTTTGCATTAAGACAAAACTTCAAGTATACAAAGTGTTATAGGTGATTGAAGGATGGATAGCTTTATTCAGCTTAATCTATGTTTTCTTGTGCACAGGGGGATGTGCATGAGATATAGAGACCATGACAAACATATCACCACAAGCACATAACACCTGAGACCCATGAAGATCCAGATCCACATTATTATGGTCTTATCAAGGGGACCCATGAAGATACAGGTTAGAATTGATCTTCAGCAACCCATGCTTATCTTAAGAAGTACTAATGGGATCGGGTGGTCAGGCTCGCTGACTTGGTTGACACATGTCATCGTATCCCAATTGCGTAGGTCTATGCTCGTACTGTTGATCACTGGATTGTATGGTCCAGACTCCATTATTTACAGAATGCTCTTTCTATAAGTTTGGTGTTCTTCATTGGGGGAAACAAGAAAGGGTTGCTTGAGAGATATTCACGAGGTATTGCTTGCTACCACCAGCAATAGGGTTCTGTGCTCAGCGTTCACTCAGATCCTAACAACACAAGTGGCACCATGCTTAAAGTATCCTGTACCTTGAGCTTGACGAAGAGATGGGCCCTAGCAACGAGCCACAAAGGATCAGCAACACATTCCAGCACTGATGTGATACAGAAACAGACAACGCCAACGTTATAGTACGGAACAGCATCTGGATCCGGCAGCTCCAGAGCAAACATCCAGACAAGGCTGAATACAGTGGCAAACACCAGCGAGATTGGCACCCTGAAACACAGTTGTCTCCCTTGAACCAAACCTTTCACAACATGGAAGAAACAGGAAGATCAATAAGTACCGAAGGTTCTTCAAACCCTGTGATCTTTGTCATTTATGCCTAATTATGCTACCTAAAAGTATATTCTGTTTTAAGTTTCTTATAAGATTCCTATAAGTTTCTTATAAGAAACTTATTAGAATTTTGTATGCAAATTAGATAAGAACTTATAAGAAATATTCTTATAAGTTTCTTATAAGATTCTTATAAGTTTCTTATAAGAATCTTATAAGAAACTTATAAGAAACTTATAAGAATCTTATATAAGAAACTTATATGGTTCTTATAAGATTCTTATAAGATTCTTATATGAATGTTATCTTAGAAGATACTTATAATATTCTCAGCTATTGAACCAGTACCAACCATAGTTACAGCTGATGACCGTTTGCAACAGCGACGCAAAGCTACACTGGCATTGCAGGCTTTCTCCCTGCAATAACACTAGCCGCAGTGATATACTCTTGAAGGCGGCATTAAACACCAAATCAGGTTTACCTCACCTCAAATGTTCAATGAAAATGTCTAACAGGTTCTGGAAGTCAAAGTTATTATTGTAAATCCATCTGTAAATGATCATTGTCATTATACTACTCATGACATCATACAATATTATTAGAAATAGAAAGTACACAATATCAACAGGCCACGAGGGTATTACCAAATATATAGAATGTGAATTCAGCTTTTGCAGAAACAGGAAGATCAATAAGTACCAAAGGTTCTTCAAACCCTGTGATCTTTGTGATTTATACTTTTTACGTAATTTTGTTCCCATGCATACATTCTGTACACAATATTAACAGGTCACACAGGTATTACCAAATGCATATGTGTAAGTTCATTTATGAAATGATATTTCAAATATTAAGAATGATTGATATGCAATTTATTGAAAAGTAAACAATGTTTTCAACATCCATAAAGTTATTTATATTTATGATATTGCAAATTTTCTTTAGGGCACTCTTCCTCTTTCATGGGTCATAAATTCTCATTAGCAGAACAGAGAAAACGAGAGATTAAGATTTTGCACCACAGCAGTTAGTGCCCAAAATGTTTGGGTCTACCAGCCTGAGCAGTAAACTGGCAACATGTTGATGATGTAATGGGACGACCCATGTTAAACATAGCAAGGATGATGAATGAAATAAAAGCATCATGTATAAATGGCCTCTACTGCAGTGAACAATGAAAGACATGAAACATTTCTGTAATAGTATCATGAGCATATTGTCAGCTTACAAGAATTGGTACACACTTGCAAACATCACATGATCAGATGAAAATTAGAAGTTGCCTAAAACTGCCTTGAGACGAGAATTATGATAAAAAGGTCTGCTTAAACATAATGGTTGATGTAAAAATACCCAAAAGAGGTGATCCTATATATATAGTATATATTCCATACCAATAGAAATTTATCAATACCCATTTAGACGACAACGTTATTATTTTTTCCTCAAGCCATTTAATACAGAAAGGCTAAAAGGATTATCTGAAGCTTGAATCAGACTTTGGTCTATTGTAACATAATGGTTGATGTAAAAATACCCAAAAGAGGTGATCCTATGTATATAGTATATATTCCATACCAATAGAAATTTATCAATACCCATTTAGACGACAATGTTATTATTTTTTCCATGTAATACAGAAAGGCTAAAAAGATTATCTGAAGCTTGAATCATTCTTTGGTCTTGATGGCGCCTGCTATTGTGATGATAGCTTGTGATATCGCCGACATGGAAGTGACATTCAGCTCATTACCATGGACCTGGTAACATATGGCACGAGATATACCATATGGGATTGCAGTGTCAGTCACTGACAATATACATATCAAGCACCATGTGTTAATTGTTCAATCAATATTTGGTCTAGTGCTCCATACTGCAGATCGTGCGAAGTGAAGTCTGGTTTTACTACTGCATTTCAGTTGTTTCACGGCATGGGAGGAAAGTCTGGAGCGTTGCATATTCATGAGTACTGGTGCAACAAGCGGAACAACATGAGGACTATCAATGTCATAATCAACAATCATACGTTTATGAGATGCCATCGGGGAACATTTCTACAGATAACTGCATGGGCCACGCCCCCATAGAGACATCCCGAACATGTCATTATGGCAGTGTCATGTATTAACCTGTGCAGCCAAGTAATCTTCTATCTTTACAACCTGATATTGAGTCATCAAATGATAACTGTATCAAGTGTTCATTTATTCATAACACACCTGGGGCTACAATGACTGTATGTTAAATTGGTGTCTGCATTTTCCCTGAAACCCAAGGGAGACAAGCATGACATTCTGGGGCCTACATTGTCCCTGAAACCCAAGGGAGACAAGCATGACATTTGAGGGTCTAAATTGTCCCTGAAACCCAAGGGAGACAAGCATGACATTCTGGGGCCTACATTGTCCCTGAAACCCAAGGGAGACAAGCATGACATTTGAGGGTCTAAATTGTCCCTGAAACCCAAGGGAGACAAGCATGACATTTGAGGGTCTAAATTGTCCCTAAATCCCAAGGGAGACAAGCATGACATTTGAGGGTCTAAATTGTCCCTGAAACCCAAGGGGAGACAAGCATGACATTTGAGGGTCTAAATTGTCCCTGCAACCCAAGGGAGACAAGCATGACATTTGAGGGTCTAAATTGTCCCTGAAACCCAAGGGGACACAAACATGACATTCTGGGGCCTACATTGTCCCTGAAACCCAAGGGAGACAAGCATGACATTTGAGGGTCTAAATTGTCCCTGAAACCCAAGGGAGACAAGCATGACATTTAAGGGTCTAAATTGTCCCTAAATACCAAGGGAGACAAGCATGACATTTGAGGGTCTAAATTGTCCCTGAAACCCAAGGGAGACAAGCATGACATTTGAGGGTCTAAATTGTCCCTGAAACCCAAGGGAGACAAGCTTGACATTTAAGGGTCTAAATTGTCCCTGAAACCCAAGGGGAGACAAGCATGACATTCTGGGGCCTACATTGTCCCTGAAACCCAAGGGAGACAAGCATGACATTTGAGGGTCTAAATTGTCCCTGAAACCCAAGGGAGACAAGCATGACATTTAAGGGTCTAAATTGTCCCTAAATCCCAAGGGAGACAAGCATGACATTTGAGGGTCTAAATTGTCCCTGAAACCCAAGGGAGACAAGCATGACATTTGAGGGTCTAAATTGTCCCTGAAACCCAAGGGAGACAAGCGTGACATTTAAGGGTCTAAATTGTCCCTGAAACCCAAGGGGACACAAACATGACATTCTGGGGCCTACATTGTCCCTGAAACCCAAGGGAGACAAGCATGACATTTGAGGGTCTAAATTGTCCCTGAAACCCAAGGGAGACAAGCATGACATTTGAGGGTCTAAATTGTCCCTGAAACCAAAGGGAGACAAGCGTGACATTTAAGGGTCTAAATTGTCCCTGAAACCCAAGGGGAGACAAACATGACATTCTGGGGCCTACATTGTCCCTGAAACCCAAGGGAGACAAGCATGACATTTGAGGGTCTAAATTGTCCCTGAAACCCAAGGGAGACAAGCATGACATTTGAAGGGTCTAAATTGTCCCTAAATCCCAAGGGAGACAAGCATGACATTTGAGGGTCTAAATTGTCCCTGAAACCCAAGGGAGACAAGCATGACATTTGAGGGTCTAAATTGTCCCTGAAACCCAAGGGAGACAAGCATGACATTTAAGGGTCTAAATTGTCCCTGAAACCCAAGGGGAGACAAACATGACATTCTGGGGCCTACATTGTCCCTGAAACCCAAGGGAGACAAGCATGACATTTGAGGGTCTAAATTGTCCCTGAAACCCAAGGGAGACAAGCATGACATTTAAGGGTCTAAATTGTCCCTAAATCCCAAGGGAGACAAGCATGACATTTGAGGGTCTAAATTGTCCCTGAAACCCAAGGGAGACAAGCGTGACATTTAAGGGTCTAAATTGTCCCTGAAACCCAAGGGGACACAAACATGACATTCTGGGGCCTACATTGTCCCTGAAACCCAAGGGAGACAAGCATGACATTTGAGGGTCTAAATTGTCCCTGAAACCCAAGGGAGACAAGCATGACATTTAAGGGTCTAAATTGTCCCTAAATACCAAGGGAGACAAGCATGACATTTGAGGGTCTAAATTGTCCCTGAAACCCAAGGGAGACAAGCATGACATTTGAGGGTCTAAATTGTCCCTGAAACCCAAGGGAGACAAGCTTGACATTTAAGGGTCTAAATTGTCCCTGAAACCTAAGGGGAGACAAACATGACATTCTGGGGCCTACATTGTCCCTGAAACCCAAGGGAGACAAGCATGACATTTGAGGGTCTAAATTGTCCCTGAAACCCAAGGGAGACAAGCATGACATTTAAGGGTCTAAATTGTCCCTAAATCCCAAGGGAGACAAGCATGACATTTGAGGGTCTAAATTGTCCCTGAAACCCAAGGGAGACAAGCATGACATTTGAGGGTCTAAATTGTCCCTGAAACCCAAGGGAGACAAGCATGACATTTAAGGGTCTAAATTGTCCCTGAAACCCAAGGGGACACAAACATGACATTCTGGGGCCTACATTGTCCCTGAAACCCAAGGGAGACAAGCATGACATTTGAGGGGTCTAAATTGTCCCTGAAACCCAAGGGAGACAAGCATGACATTTGAGGGTCTAAACTGTCCCTAAATCCCAAAAGGAGACAAGCATGACATTTGAGGGTCTAAATTGTCCCTGAAACCCAAGGGAGACAAGCATGACATTTGAGGGTCTAAATTGTCCCTGAATCCCAAGGGGAGACAAGCATGACATTTGAGGGTCTAAATTGTCCCTGAAACCCAAGGGAGACAAGCATGACATTTGAGGGTCTAAATTGTCCCTGAAACCCAAGGGAGACAAGCATGACATTTGAGGGTCTAAATTGTCCCTGAAACCCAAGGGAGACAAGCATGACATTTGAGGGTCTAAATTGTCCCTGAAACCCAAGGGAGACAAGCATGACATTTGAGGGTCTGACATTTGAGGGTCCACATTGTCCCAGAATCCCAAGGGGAGACAAGCATGCCATACAGGGTCCTTCATTGTCCCAGAAACCCAAGGACACAAGCATTCATGCCATACAGGGTCCTTCATTTTCCCAGAATCCCAAGGGGAACAAGCATGACATACTTGGACCTACATTTTCCAAGAATCCCAAGGGGAGACAAGCATGACATTTGAGGGTCCAAATTGTCCCAGAATCCCAAGGGGAGACAAGCATGCCATACAGGGGCCTACATTTCCCCAAAACCACAAGGGGGACAAGTATGACATACTTGGGCCTGCCATAGATTTACTTAAAGAATCCAAAGGAAAGCATGTATATTACAGTTTCTACCTCGTCACTATCATTCACTGAGCGACAAGCATGCATGTGTCATGTCCCTTAATCCCATGGCAACCTTGAACAACCAATGAACAATGAACTAACAGGTCCTCATATTTTTTCCAAGATATCACCCCAAGGAGATACATAGTTGAGGTTCATTATATCCCAGAATGCCCCAGGACTGAGCTAAAATTGTACTTACGCACACCACATGAGGTTGACAACTTGACGCCAGTCTTTCTTCTCCTGTTTGCTCAGACAGGCCTTGTCAAAAGGCTCACAGGACAAAAACAGCACTGTGCTGTGTAGAAGCAACAACCTGTAGCAACAAAGTCAGCGATCTGAACAGAGGTTTTTCACATTTCTTACGTGCCCCAAGAAAGATACTGACAGCAAGGAAAATATTATGCGTGGATGTTGTGACAGAACCAATAATTTGAATTTCAGTCAGTAAAATCCCAGTAGTTTACAGTATAAAGAACGTTGCCCTCAAATACACAGAGTGAGTGAGTAAGTTAGATATTCCAGCAATAACATGGCGGGGACACCAGAAATGGACTTCACACAATGTGCCCATGTGGGGAATTGAACCCGGATCTTCAGTGTGAAGAGCGAACACCTTAACCACTAGGCCACCCTACCGACCCATCAAATACATAGACACACAACGGGCAGGTCACTCATCATAACTTTCTCATCCTTATCTCTTGTACCTTTGATGTTTAGTCCACCACTTAGTAATATTCCAGCTAAAAACTGTGGCCTAAAAATAATCAAGTCTAGACCTGTCAATCCAGTGATCAATAGTGCGAAGAACAGTCCACATTGTTTGGGTAACATATTTACTCTGGATGGAGGTCAGCATTAAAGGAATAAAACAAGGGCACTTTCGCTCAGAGTTAGTGTATTCGAAGATAGAATTCAAATGGACAAAAACCTCTCACCTGACATTAACAACACCCAGTAAATCCTTGGTGATGAATCTCAAAACAAATGCATTCAAGAAGAAAGTCATCACCCGTAGCATCAGCTGAAAAATAGCAAAACATTCATGAAATATGACTTGTTTATTTGTTGTTTAAAACAACACTCAGCAATATTCCAGCTATATGTTGCGGCCTGTAAATAATCAAGTCTGGACCATTTCTCTCAATGATACTAACTATCAGCCCTCAGGGAAGCTACCATATAATTTATTCAAAAAACATTATGCATTTAGATTACAACATTAAATTAAAAAGTTCAAATGAGTGACATTGTGCCTTTAAATGATAAAACAGACACATGCAGTTTTCTTCTTACTGAATCAAAGGCCACTGAACATTCTTTTGAGGAGACTTAGACACACAGGATAGTTTAAATTGTTGATGCCAGTGAACAGGATATCTTGCATTCAATATTTTCCCAAAACAGTCCACATCAACATAGCAACTCAGAAAATGTCTGTGAGTGTAGAGTTCTGGAAGTTCACGTGGGAGAATGGTATTAAGCATACAACATCGCCTCCCTATCATCAGCGTATGAAATAAGGCCCGTCCAACCGCCCCGAAACGTTCTAGATTTCTGACGGACGGTCTAAATTTACAGCTAGCCAGCCTGATGGTCTGGTAAATATTTTAGAAGTTCCATACATATGAGTAAATTCACCATATTTGGTCTGGTTAAATCCTTTTGGGGCTGGTAACATTTTGAAGTTACCAGCCCTGATGTCTGGCTGGAGTTTTGGCCTGTTTCATACACTGCTATTACCAGCCATAAACAGGCTCGCGGAGAGATATAAACAAACTTTCAAAAGGAAATTATTTGGAAAATTTAAATACAGAATATTAGTTTTATCATGATCTGTAATAGCTTAGAGAAAGACTCCAGTCTAAAGTAATAAAACTCATCTCACAGTCATACTATTGAAAAAGGTATAAGTTACGACTACACAATTTTAGAGATGTTTCTAGATAAATAGAGATTACTAACCGAGTATGTTTCTGTAATATTAATATCATATATTAGGAATAAAAAATTGTATTATGCGAGCCTTTGGCCTTTCGTCGTCTTCTTTCTTGTGATCGATAGATCAAAATCCTTGGTTGGTACCTTTCTTACTTGTAGACGATAGTCTGTCACTCGTGCCTCATAATCCGTACCTTCAATTTGAACGAAGTTCTCCGTTTCATGTTTTCCAAAGTCAGTTACTGCAGTAACGACCCCAGAACCTCTATCATCAATTCTTACAGAATCACCGATTTTGATAATGGGGGCAGCCAAGCTTGTTTACAAACTCGTCCACGCAATGTAAACTCGTGACGACGTCATCAATGAAATGTTAAAGGTCACATGCAACGTAAAACACAACTTTGCAGATTCTGATACCTTTCGGTATGGACTTACCGAAACAAATCGTCAAAAATGCAAATTCAACTTATAAAGTTGAAAAATAACGCGATGAAAAAAAACGCGCGAAATCGGAGTTCAAACAATTCACTAATTTTCCCCCGACTTTTCGGGGGAAAACTGGTTTCAACAGCTGGGCTGCACTCATAGTACGTGCGCAGTGAAATAGGTTCGCGCAGCTTGGAAGCGGGTTGTCCGGTTAATACTCGGTGAAGGCTTTGGTGTGAGCTATTTTTCTAATGTTTTGTTGATATCTCACAGGCGGGAGCTTTTATATGTTATGACAGTAAATTAACTGTTTATATAATTTCATTTGTCTATTTCACCACACGTTCTTCTTACCGAGTCACTTTCTCAGTTCGATGCTTAAAAGCAATGTCATTATTTAGCGTTGACAGAATTTCTAACTGTGATATAGATATGTCGTTGTCACAGACAAAACTCAATGTCTTGTTTATTGACACCTGTGTGTCTGCCTGCCTGTTTGCTAATGACAATATTCAATACACAGCTGCTATCACTGACCACATGCAATTTGAACTTAACACCAATCAGGCTATACACCATAAACAAAATGCATTGATTTATGGCCCGAGTTCGGTCTCTGTCACATTATGTAATTACACAGACAGGCAGGTGTGATACTTGAACACATGACATGTTATGATGTCTGTTGATTGCAAAATGTTATACACAAAAAAATGAGCATGTATTTACAAAACCCAACATCTCTATATATACACACACAATGAGCCGTGAGGGCATCTGCAAATGAACCAGCCGTTACACTTGAGTGCACACCCACCCGCTCTGACTGGGTTCGGTATCCCGGCTGCTTTGTTTCTTGGGAAGTAAACCGAAGTACACAATATTGCACTTTTGATTTGCGATTGTACGCTTATAATTTTGTTTATATGTTTTTTCATAACCAGCAGTGTATATTATATGTCATGAATAAGCGATAATTGTGTTTTAATTATGTTTGATTTTTTGGTTGCATGTGACCTTTAACGTTTTAGGATTTGCACGGCATGTATGGAGTTTTGAGAAAGTAGTTTGTGGATTGACGTAATGTTAGCATAGTTATCAGATTTGGATACCAAGTTTATCAGATTGCTTTACTGCACCGATAACAACCTCCATTAGATGATATACGCTCAAAATCAGGCTGAGCCTGTTGTATGTGCTAATTCTGTATTGAAGTCATGAAGTTTCGACTCCGATAGACATGTTCACTGACATCAATGCAGCACAAGGCTTCATTTACATGTTCTGAGATATTTGAAGATTGTTTTTGCTCTGAAAGCTAGGTCGAAAACTGCATAACTAGAGTTATCCTTCTGACTTGGGAAAACATTTATGTGGTAACGCACCCTTAAAAATTGAAACATATACACATGAAAACCCAAAGGCTGAAGACAGCGTGTGTTAACGTTAATGGCCATTTTGAAAATGTAATGTACGTCATATTACAATGCCTATCATATAATGTTCTTTGATATACTTTATTTATGAGTATACTGACTAAAATGTCCACTTTTTTAAACATGTGAATGAGAAATAGTGTGTCCTTTTGAAACATGAGATGCATTTGACCACGGACACCTGTAATCATAATTCAGAGTAACAACTGCTAGTTTTGCATTACCCTCTGAGAGCTAAACAATAGCCCTGCTTGCAGAGTTATTAAACCTTGTTTGTACACAAAACTACAATATATTTAAGATTTTGAAACTTCTTTGAAGGAATATAATGGACTATTTACCTGAAGAGCCATGTTGTAGGTGGTAGCCTTGGCAGCACCCGCCAATAAGTCCGAACTGGATTTCATTTTGCTTGAATCTGTACACAATTTATCTGAAAACATAATGTTTTTGATATTCGTGAAAGGATTCACATTGACAAAGTCCATACATAGGTATCATGAACAGACTTTGCTCCAACACGTACCAACCCCTGAGAACATTTGTTTCAGACTTGGCGTAAGTTACGACTGTAGACAATTGTATATAAACAGTGTATGAAATAAGCCCAAAATCCAGCCAGACATCAAGGCTGGTAACTTCAAAATGTTACCAGCCCCAAATGGATTTAACCAGACCAAATATGGTGAATTTACTCAGATGTATGGAATATCTAAAAAAATTATCAGACCATCGGTCTGGCTCAGAACGTTCTTCAGAAATCTAGACTGTCTCGGGCGGTCGGACGGGCCTTATTTCATACACTGATATAAATGCTAACGAACTACTATCCATCATTAAGTCCAATGTAACACTTTACCTTTGCAAATTTACCTGCTGATTAGGCCCTGCAGTGAATTTTCAAAATGCTGACCAGGAACTACCTTTCAAAGTTCCAACTTTGATCAACTAAAGCACAGAACCAACATATGCAATATTTCTTCTTGTTCACCACCAAAGCTATGAGTCATGCTGAACAATTCCACAAAAGCCCAGTAATATACAGCTAGATCAACAGTGATATTGATCAGCTGTATGAAATCCGATAACATCAGTTTAATTAAATTATGGTAATTTAGCCTGATTCCACATTGAAGTAAGTCTTTTATGGAAATAGGAGAATAGGAGATCAAATTCATTACCCTGATTCCACAATGAAAAATGAAAATCTTTTGTGGAAATGGGGAGAGTAGTATACAAGAAGGTGATTCTCGACCACTACGACGGCGTTATTTTAGTTAATAAGGTCTGAACGGTGGTAAATATAACGCTCGATGCCCTCCCCCCGCCCAAATCGTTGACCATTTTGGTGAACCTATTACAGATATGGTATCACAAAAGTATAACGAAAGTAAAATTTCAACAATGAATCAACAAGAGACATTAAGATACCAGGATTTAGAGTTGAATTTGTTTCTAGGAGCGGATCCTAATAGTGAGCATTATAAAAAATTATACCGATCTCACACAACCGAGTATCGTGGTCGATGTGGATAACCAATTTCCAAACTCGGTTTGGAGTAATGTAATGACTGTTAAAGCAGTACAAACTTATTTTAGATAAATCGAAAGGGTTTTCTCGTCCCAGTTTCATCAGATTGCACGATTCGATTCGACATTCATACCATCGACGAGTACCAGTGAAACGGGAATAGTGGTGCCACCACCGGCAAAGCCAACAGTTCAACCCACACCTAGCCCACACCTGTCGCCACGTGCGGTGGTCGAAATCCAGAGGACAGTCAATTGCAAAACAGCTCTAATGGTCGGTGGTATCGCAGTCGGGTTGTGCCTCCTTTGGTTACAAATTCCTTAGCAGCAATGTACAGCAGGCCGGCCGCCGCCGCGACGAGTGCCCACAAGTTTTGACCCAGCCATGTGACCGTTTTCGAGAATAGACCAAATAACCAGGAAATGATGCTACCGAGGATGCCCAGAAGAGCTTCCGCCGCTTTCCCCGCTAGTCTTGTGAGGGCTTGGCTCAGGGATTTCAAATGTTTTTTATCTATTCTCTGACATCGCTGCTAGGCGACGGTGGCCTAGGAGTGGGTGGGCTAGGCGTGCTGCCGGTCAGAGAGATGACTAAAGTTGATATGAGGAACCCCAGCGTGGTCAGAATGCTGGCGATGGTGATCCCCTGTTCTCTGAATAAGGTACTGATTTTTTCGACTAGCGTCGACCTGTCGTAGTTGGGGACTCGATCGATTTGGGATTGAAGCGCTTCTCTGTCGTTGGCTGCCACTTCCAATCGGGTCAACCTTTCATCTTGCAGGTCGCCCAATATTTCTTCAATGCGACGGCGGCTGATCTCATCATCATCATCATCGTCTGCTTGTTCGAGATTCCTTTTCTCGATAGCCATGAGGTCGTCGAGTTTGTTTAGTTTGGCCATGTTGCCTACGAGAGATCTGCGTAGGATTCGCAACATCTTGTCCAGCCCTCGAATTTCTCGAGCTGTAAATTCCAGGTCCAGTGTTTCTGATACACTATCGTTTATGGTGGCCAATATGTTGTCAATATGGTGCATTGGCACGTCTCCCAAATCGTGTCTGGCCATTCCACTCGCCGTGACACCGAGCTAGGTCCACATCATTTGCATTGTTTTGGCGGTCTTCGCGGAAAGTTTCTCGTTCAGGAATTCATGAGATCGATGTCAGTCGAGCCTTCAGTCGCAGTATCCCTTTTTGACTGATTTTGAATTTTGAATAGTCGAAATAAGCGTGATGTTCCTCTATGGTATCGTAATATCATTCATGGTCGCCTATAAAAGTTCACCGCTCACAGTGTCTTGCCCATCGTCCAGCAATGGGGTGTCGTCGTCGTCACCAAAATCGTCCATCTCGATTTCCTCTGCCATTATTATATATTCAAATAAATTTTCAATATATATACAATGTCACAATATGGATGAAAACTAGATCCTTTCCAAAGATTAAGGGAACCCCTGAGAGTCATAGGCGTTCATCAATCAGTGTCGATCACGAACAATCCAAGCATGATCAATCAAAACCAAATGCTGTTGGTGTGCTTTCCCAATCTGGGTGCGAACGACGTCATTCTCCATGGAACAGCGTGCCTGGCTTTTAAAATCACTCTGACTGCCGAGGTCGACAGAGCAGAAATCGTGCCAAACCTTGGTCAGGCGATCGTCAAGAAAACGATGATCAAAATCAGCGGCAATGAGGTGCTGAGTATCAACGACAGCGAGATGTTTTTCAGTTACATGGACCTCTGGAGAACCAAGGACGAACAGTGAAACATTGTATATACATATCATAGCATCTGCTCAATGAGCTGTGATTTGATTTGGTTGCACACGGGGATTTGCTTTCATGCAAGACGAGCTCACCAAAATAGCACCGGGAATTAAAGCCATAGCCGAGACGTTTGGGAACCAATTTTGCATTCCACTCGACTTCAAGTTGCTCGAGGGACACACGTCGTATTACAAGGTCGTGCTGAGCAACCAGCTGGAATACAAACTCACTTTCAATGACTACAGAAAAGTCATTGTTTCACCAACCGACAGCAGCTACACCATCGACAACTTTTTCGTTGGAGTTCCACATGGTCACGGATGCAGAACTGGCCCGGCTGATTCGCAATCAGTACACAGGAGAGATACCCATTTTGTACGGCCGCATGCTGTGGCACCGGAAGATCGTCCGGGATAAAAGCAATACGCTGTGGAACATCAATCTGAACATGCCAGCTTGATCGATGAAGGGTATTTTGATTATCCCGGTGGACGACGTGCCGTTTCGAAGAACCAACGAATCATATTTTAACCCAGAGATCATGAAAGTGGAAGTGACCATTGAGGGCTTGCCCAATCAGCTGTTCAGCCAAGGCATAAGGGCCCACCAACAGTGGGACGAGATCCAAAAATGGCCGGCGATCAAGCGCGCGCCGGAAATCAATGCAGTCGTCAAGGATTTCTGTCTCTTCGGTGTGATGATCTGGGATTACCTGGTGGGCAAGTACATGCTATGGCTGGACATGCGATCCACTGCAGCGGTCGCCAAATCGATGACGGAAGTAAGAGGATCACGATCCAAATTGAATTTATATTTGTACGTGATTATGGACGCGCAACTTAATATAGACAATGGAAGATTCATGCAAGCCATCTACTGAGCAATGGCGGAATTGAAATTAAAACAGACTAAAGTTACAGTTATAACAATATCAGTCTATTACCTTGCTCGGGGGAATGTATCCATCAATATCCACATAAAGGAATGAGATGCCATTCATCTGCAGCTGAGAAAGTATCCTGTTCCATGTCATGTGTCTTTTAACAGTCTAATATGCGGAAAAGTGATCTAACGTTTCAGATTTTTCACATTGGTGTATAGTCCCATTGGTCACCCATTGGTCACGCAAGATAGCACACCTGCCAACTTTTTGCATGATGTCCGACATTCTTTAAAAAAGTAATTTAGTTAGCCAATAATGAGCAATCAATCAATGTATTGGCGGTTAATCCTTTGAAGGAAGGACGCTGCTTTTACAAAGAGACTTTACGACAGGGTGTATTCAGTATAGATTAGTAACTCTACATACATAAACATAAATCTTTTGACAAATTCGCTGTGCAGGATAAAAACAATTAATCAATCAGCGTGTTATCGGTTAATCCTTTGAACGATGTTTGTTTGTAATTCCTCTTACTGCATTTCCATGCGTATATTACATAAGATGTAATACATTTGCCACATCAGACCTCAATTTATAATGATGAGTATTTACTCCAGACACAAGAAATGCCAAATGGGAACCTTTGTCGGGTAATCTGAGTGGTGTTATCACTAATTATACCTGTTATAAATTCATTACCTGACCATCAAGTGAATGATGACAAATAACATGTGTAGGTTTACCACCAAACAAGGGTTAAAGCAAGAGAGTAGTAATCGCTGTATTGCATGCATGTTTGAGTGCCTGAAAAAAAACAAACTTATTGGCAGACACTGTTTTGAGGATACGAACAGAACTTCATTGTTACATAAAAAATATATATAAGCATTGGCTGTGTACTTGGTTAAAAACTGTATATACCTATGTACCTAAGATAATTTCAGATTTATTTTGCAATGGCAAAGTAGGGTTGTTTACTTTACGTGTTTTTTTATATCATAGCATACGTAATAGACATCATATGTTTACATGATTAAATATTGAGGTAAAAAACACAGAAATAGGATCAATTTGGATCAGTCACTATACCATCCAAACATTTGAAAATCTGAAAAAAGCCTACACTACTGGGATACTTTATTACAATCAAACAAGAACTACCGGGGATATTTTCAAATAACGGCATCTGATAGGCATCCACCCTTCCTAATGTCCCACTGATTAGGTTGAAGAAATTCTGCCAGGGTGGACAGTAGCCCAGTCCCCGTGTCCATCACGGTCAAGGGCGCAGAGGCTGACGAGTTTGCAGCTAGGTTTCGTAATTAGACTGTTGGCTGGAAACAATAATCGCTCTGGATCAGTGGCTCTTTAAGAATGGTGACGAGACTTGTTGCCTGCAGCCACTCATACAGATAGGCCTTCAAGGTATCCCGAAGACGACTGGGATGGCATAGACGAACCCACTCCCTTCTCCCACATCTCCAAAAGCAAACAAAAACAGTTTCGCTTACAACGTCTTCGGGCACGAAGGTAATAAAACCATAGTTCACAGAATAAGCGACCCCCCCGAAACACATTCCCAGGATCAATACATTCCTTGTCGAAAAAGAGGGTCACTTTCATTATACAAAAATCGAAAGTCTGAGCAGGCTGTTGCACGACCAATCGAAACACGGGAAAAAAAACATTTCTGCATGGTTACAGTCGTGCCGACCTGTTGGAAGCGCACAGAGAGGACTGCTGAGGTGTGAGGCAGACGACGATCAGGATTGACATGTCCAAAGAAAACGACAACATTCTCGGATTCGTCAACCATATGTGCAGTTACTGCTGAGTTCAAGAAAAGGGATGCCCATTGTAATCTGCATGAGCTGAAGGAAATACTTCTTTGCAAGCGTAGTGATGTGGTCGAGAATCACCATCTTGTATACTACTGGGAGATCAAATTCTAGAATATTAATTATCATTTCTACATAGAAAATCCTATTTTTAGCAATTGCCCACAGGTTATGATGAGAAAGTTAATCCGAATTTGAGGGCAATGGGGCGCCATGGGTCGCGGTGGGCAAGCTGGCTAAGGCACCAGGCTAGTGATCCATCGAGGTTGAGGTGTCGGGATCGAGCCTACCTGTGACCGGGTGTAAAAAACCTTGGAGTCAACTTTGTGTGCAGACTCTTTCAGTGTTGTCACAACCCCTAGTGTACAGTACACAACCCTATGCACTTAACTGAACCCACAAATTCGTTGGTATTATTATTATTGGTATAGATGGTGGCCACATGAATATGTGCAAACACCTATTTGCAGGTACAGCAACGTGCAGTGAAGTTGGACAAAGTACTGTGACTATGTGTCCCAGTCCACCCAGCTGTGAATGGGTACCTCGTTAGGATGAGAAAGCCACAATAACACGGTGCACCTAGTGGCTGCAAGAGTTGTATACTCCCCGGGGAGTTGAGATTGATAATATGATGTGCCATTGAGGTTGACATCCAATGATCGAGGGAAAAAATACCAGCCCTTGAGCATGCACTAGTTGCCTGGATATGTGCGCTATATAAATATCCTATAATATAATAATTAATTACATGATAAACTTCGCCCTTTGTCAAATGTTTTCTATCCAAAATGCAAATTGGAGAAAGTGAAAAAACAGTTCTTACTTGATGATATGGAAATAGCAGTTCAATTGTGATGGAAAGGTCCAGTATTGCCAGAGATCCCGATTAGTGAGAGTCCGGTTTTCTGAGATTCCATCTTCTTTCACATCAAATCTTACACTGCTCAGTAGTTACCCGTATAATTATACTGTAGATAAAAGGTGTCAAATATAGTGCATTTATCTGCGAACTTTGCGATACCTCCCTCTTGGTTTGGGTTGGACAGATGTTTTTGAGGGGCTACCCTCTAGATTCGATTTAATACACTACTTGTATCATACATTGATGAGGGGGTAAAGTCAATTTGATTTCAATCATTTGAGGTTCTCTCCTTTTCATAATGATCACAATGAAAGGTGTCATCAACAGCTGATCATACGACAGGACACCAGTCACACATCGACAGGTGTCATTTCGTCATGGGCGCAGACATCTTGAACTTATCACGTGACAGTGAGGAGTCACATGACAACAGTGGCGAGGCAGATCGTGACTGGGTTTCGTCTCTATGGTTAAAGGATAATTTCCTGCGCAAAGGCGTTCGGCGTTCTAGTAAAAGTCTCGAAAAGTATGAGTAACCAAAGATTGAAGAAATATACACTCTAAGATTCGTTTTCTATTATAAAAATCTATATTGATTTGAATAATAGGTGCTATTCCTCAACATCGTTCTCGACAAGCACCTTTGCTGATAATACACAAAGGGAAGTAACTCTGAACTTCCCGCCACTACTCAAAAACGTTTTCAGCGAAGTGAATATTAGTCAGTAAAGAAAATGTTTACACTTAGACAGTCATAAACGAAAGTCAAAATTACAATGCCTCCAAAAAGACCAACGGGAAAAAATGAAAAAAACAGATCATCAGTAAGTATTTCTTCTAAGAGTTTGGTTCTCAGATGGGAATTGTTTCGGACAAATAAGGTCGCTTTCAGATTTACGCCGCATTTGCCAACTTCCTGCAACGCAGAAATGAATTGAGTGCTGTTTTGAAATGACACTTTGAGGGAGTTGATTAGGTTATAGTTGTTATAAATACAGTATTACGGTTGCCGTGAAGTCTGTAAACACAGATCTGTATTCAGTTGGACCTTTCCATGCTGTTAAAAGCGGCGTTAAACCCACCTCACTACAACTTTAGGCACCTCCACCGAGTACCAGAAATGACCGCAGCAGCGCAAGAGGGGAGAGAAGTTCTCAGTCCAGTCAGCGGCCATCCACAAGTCAACGACCGTCATCGTCCCAGGCCCCAGCGTCCACCCAGAGACAGATGTCCAGCCAGACACAAGCTGACAAGGCGGCTGCAGGCATTGACAGGGCAGAGCTTGACCGCAAAGTAAGTGGTGATAGATAGGTCAGTGTTCAAAACTAGTCAAGAAAGACAATTATCATGATGATGTTATGCTAATATTTCTAGATTATGGTCCATAGATTGAAATGCTTTTAAAATCAAATGTCACTCTTTACTTTTTCCACTAATTTCTAATCTGTTTTAATTTTATTTTGTTCTGCAGGTAAATGATCTTGTTCAATATTTGCTGATAATGTGGCAGAAGAATTATCCAATCAAAAAACTAGGTAAGTTAAACTCAGCTGTCAGTATATCAAGTTGAAAGTTGAAACGTCGCACTCATTGCAATAAAGAAGTTGACTATCCATAGAACTTGGTTTTCCTTCAAGTTGAAAGTTCTCAGGACTTGGGACTGCGCTTTACAAACTACGTCTGCATCAGAATATGCTGGAAGACAAAATAACTTCTCAGAAGTCAGAGTTGTAGGATGATAGAATACCCTTACATTTTACATATATTTTCATATAGAATTCCCAAAGTAGATGCTCGTAGTTAGCAGTCTTCGCCAAGGATATTTTAGTCCAGTGTCATGAACTTGACTCTAAGGGACCGTTCATAATTTATGGCTAGTAGGGGTGATGATGATTTTAAGGGGGGTCACCTATTTTGTTCTGGGGAGCTAGGGGAGTCATCAATTTTGTTCAAACATACTAGTGGGGGTCATCAATTTTGTACATAAAAATATGTTTAAATTTATGCTTAGAAATTATGGGAAGGGAAGGGGGGTACATGACATCCAGGGGGGGTCACTTATGTTGTACATCAATTATTTTTGGGGGGCATTCACATTGTACATGCTTCTCCATAAAAATCATCATCATCCCACCCCCCTAGCCATAAATTATGAACTGTCCCTAAGCATCATTTCCGAAGGTTTTATGTTATTATAATGATTATATGGATCATTATTTCCTAAGCTTTCTAAACTGAACAGTTTATTTTCTACCCTCAGTTTTCTAACTGTATTTATATATAGTCTCAGACAGTTAATGCATGATCTTTAAGTAGCATATGCAAATCAAACTGTTGATACTTTGGAAGTCCATGAAGACACAATATATTGTGGAGAGTTACTTCCCTTAGGCCTGCCCGGATGCAGTTGTCATGGATTTAAACCCCAATTTCTGATTATGGAACTTGTTTGTTCAGCCACCAGCCCCTGTCCCATGGTGACTTGACTTGCCAGAAATCAGGGATCATGGGTTTAAGTACAAGGTGTTTTGACTGTTAGACACTCTGGACTTCCTCTCATTTGAAGCTTTCACACCATGATATACATTACTGAAATACTGACATTTTCAGACATCAACAAGAATGTGCTCAAAGAACACCGGTCAGCATTTGCTCATATAATGAAGAAGGCCCAGGAAAAGTTAGGCAGGGTAAGTAGTTCCTCCAGAGGCCCAGATTAGCTGCGTATCCGGGTAAAATATGCATAGAAACTTTCCAATTACACATTGAAAAATAATTGTTGCGTACCAATTAGGCATTTAAAATGTTAGATACGCAAAAAGTCTAAAACAAATGCGTACGGAATATATACAGTATATTCATAAAAATCGCTTGCATAATGAAAAAGATATCGATTGCTATCAAGTTGTACTGTTAGTATAGGACAAGTGTTGTTCTGTCTGTATAGGATGAGTGATTTTTTATGAAATCATTTCCATTATATTTAAGTTGGTTTTGATTTGGTATGACATAAGGCAGAAGATACCTGCTTAGTAAACTTACTCAATGACATAATACTTAGGTGAGTAAAATGACTGAAATAGGCACATATTTGAAAGCAGTCGGTAACGGAAAATGAAATACCCACTCAACATTCATAATACCCACTCCCAAAAAATACAGTGGGTACAGTACCCACATGAGCTACATCTGATCTGGAGCTCTGGTTCCTCTGCCAGGTTATCTCGTGAATAATACAGTTGTTTTGATACGACCATAGTACAGTAAGCTATGTTTATAACAAACAAAGGGACATAACAAACTGAAATTTATGGTCCCTTTGAGTACTGTTAATTATTATTACTTTCATCCCAACCCTCCTGACCACCAAGAACCGCCCCCGTGGTGTAGTGGTTAGAGCGTCTGCCCGGAGAGCGGAAGTTCGCGGGTTCGATCCCCGACCGCGTCATACCAAAAGACATTAAAATATGGTACTTGTTGGTTCCTGCCTGGCGCCCGGCATTTATGGGTACAACAAGGACTGGTCGGCTCGGAGTCAGTGTAATGTGTCTGAGTGGGGTATTCATGCTTCACTGCGGCATGGTTTCTCAGTGGGCTAGCACTCTAAAACCAGATTAAGTCTGGGCTAGTACAAGTAGCCGCACATACACACGCATGCACGTCGTCATATGAGCGAAATATTCTCAAGCACGACGTTAAACCCAATTTCACCACCCCTCACAAGGACCATACAGATGAAGATGTGACTTTCTTTATTTCTGTAAACATTCATGCTTTATTTGGATCAATTACATGAACAGTTAGTTATTTATAACTGTACGTGCGATGAAATATTTGTACAGAAATAAATACCTTTGTATTGAAAAATGCCTTCTTTCAAAAATCTTCGGGTGAAAATTTAATCATTCATCTCACCTTTTCATTAATTTGTTGTTCCGTGAAATGAGACATTTGTTTATGTTTTATATCACCTTAGATTCTAAAAGAAGTTTGTTGTCAGTTTAAAAGTTAACTCACATGCAACTAAATGTTGACAATCCAGGTTAGAATTGGTCGTCAGTAATCCAAGCTTTCATAAGAGGTGGCGGGATCGGGTGGTCAGGTTTGCTGACTTGGTTGACACATATCATTGTATCCCAATGAAGTAGATCGATGCTCATGATGTTGATCACTGAACTGTCTGGTCTAGACTCGATTATTTACAGACTGACACCATATAGCTGGAACATTGCTGCGTGCTGCGTTAAACAACAAACCCACTTGTCAAGTTAATTTCATTATGCAAGATTAACTAATGTTCATTGTAATATAATTATTTTTTAAAATATGCATTCATTTTTAGAAGATGACATTTACATGGAGTATGATCTGTAAAGCAATTCTTTTTCAACCGAAAGAGTCTGATGTTTTCCCACATTGCAGGTGTTTGGAGTTGATGTTGTTGAACTACAAGATAAATACAAGGGCAGCTTCATCCTGCTGAACAGACTTGAGAACGACACAGACAACCCTCATCTCCTGTGGTAGGTTGTACTCCAGCAGTCCTGTTGATACCATGCACATAGCTGTGTGTGGAGCACTGTTTGAGTATCCAGGGGACATAACTCTGCATAACTCCCTGTCATTGAGAGAAATAGTGTTGATACCATGCACATCGCTGTGTGTGGAGCACTGTTTGAGTATCCAGGGGACATAACTCTGCATAACTCCCTGTCATTATTGTCCACTTTGGGCAGATTGAGAGAAATAGGGTTTGAAAAATCTTTTGAATAAACAGTACTATAGATTTTTATGGTATGTTTACTCTTCTGCTGCAACTGAGTTGTTGTCAGTTTATTAATTCAAAATGACCACTGCAGCAGCACATTATATTTTCAGGTACGAAGTTGACTGCCTACAATAGTAATTTATGATGTTATTAAATGGCTTCTATGGAACTTTTCAGGAGTTGGGAGATCAGTTGAATAATCAGTACCCTTAATTTGAGAATGTATGATTTAAATGTCCCCAAATATTGCTATTTACTTTGTATGAATGTGTCACTTCAATGGAAAATCAAGTGCGATATTTTTTTTGTCCCCCGCCACAACGTGGAACAGGGGACTGTATTCAGCAGTGTCCGTCCATACGTCCGCGTTAGAAATTAACATCATTCCTTATGCCCGAAGCCGACTGAAAACCACTCTGACCCACAGCTTTTGTTTTCTGCAGGTCCTTATGGCCGACAGCTTTTTCATCCCCAGCACCAAAGAGTATTAATTCCATTTTAAAATATACAGGACTACACATTCTGATCAGGACCCACAACTTTTTATGGTTCTGGGTCCTTAGTGGCCTTCAGCTTTTCAGGGTTGACGGCAAACACTGACGTATGTACGTCCCGATTCTTGTTAAAACAATATTTCATGAACTGTTGTACCTAATATCTTCAAATTTGGTGATAGCCTACATTGGGGAATTACGCAGGCACCAGTCAATTTGGGTGTCCATGACCCTGTTTTCAAGGTCACCATGGCACTTTGACCATATTTCAAACACTTGTTAACGCGATATCTCATGCACTGTTGTACCCAATATCTTCAAATTTGATGACAGTCTACATTGGGGTATTACACAAACACCAGTCAATTTGGTTGACCTTGACCTTATCTTCAAGGTCACCATGACACTTTGACCACTCTTCAAAATTATGTAAATGCGATATCTCATAAATCGTTGCACCCAATGTGTTCAATTATGTCAGCAGCCTACTTTGGGTGATTACGCAGACAGCGGTCATTTCAGGGTGACCTTGACCTTATTTTCAATGTTACAGGACACTTTTCAAAATCTTGTTAACGCGATAATTACATCACACAAAAGGTAATCTTCTATGTGACCAAAGATAAAAACTAGTAAATATGTTATATTTCATTCTACTTTAGCGGTGGGGGACATTGCCATGTTAATGGCAAACACTTGTACTAATTATTTTCAAAATAGAAAATGACAGCGGTACTATGAAACAAAGTGTACAAACTTCCATAATGGTAAATGACAAATGTACTGTTCTCTACCCTTCTTTTCTTTATCGAGAGGGGCGGTGGGGTAGCCTAATGGTTAAAGCGTTGGCTCGTCATGCCGAAGACCCGGGTTCGAATCCTCACATGGGCACAATGTGTGAAGCCCATTTCTGGTGTCCCCTGCCGTGATGTTGCTGGAATATTGCTAAAAGCGGCGTAAAACCCAACTCAGTCAGTCAGTCTTTATGGAGAGCGGAAGGGTCGCAGGTTCGATCCCCGACCGCGTCATACCAAAAGACGTTAAAATATGGTACTTGTTGGTCCATGCCTGGCGCTCGGCATTAATGGGTACAACAAGGACTGGTCGGCTCGGAGTCAGTATAATGTGTCTGAGTGGGGTATTCATGCTTCACTTCGGCATGGTATCTCAGTGGGCTAGCACTATAAAACCAGCTTAAGTCTGGGCTAGTACAAGCAGCCGCACATACACATACACATACACACGCATGCACGTCCTCATATTAGCAAAATGTTCTCAAGCACGACGTTAAACCCAATTTCACCTCACCTCTTTTCTTTATATGTATTGATATCATTTTCATGCTTTCCATCATGTCCTAAGATTGCCAATATTCATGTTTCAGGCCGGAAGAAGACAACACCAAGACAGGCCTGCTGATGGTGATTCTGAGCCTCATTTACATGAACGGCAATGTCATGCAGGACTGTGAGTAGCTATAATGGGGCAGGGTGGGGTGGGGCACAGGAGGTGAAGGGTTAACATGCAGGTGAGAGTGAGTCTAGTTTTACGCCACTTTAAGCAATCCAGGAATATCAGGGTGGGGGACACCAGAAATGGGCTTCACACATTGCAGCCATGTGGGTAATCGAACCCGGGTTTACGGTGTGATTGGAGAACACTTTAACCACTAGGCCACCACACCGTCCCTGTAAACATGCAGGGCTGCAAGTAGACTTTATAGGTTGGGTCATCTGTGAAGAGGTGAAGGGTTAACATGCAGGGCTGCAAGTAGACTTTACAGGTTGGGGCACGTTGTGAGGAGGTGAAGGGTTAACATTCAGGGCACAAGTAGCCTGTATAGGGAGGGGCCCTCTGTGAGGAGGTGAAGGGTTAACATGCAGGGCGCTTGTAGCCTGTATAGGGAGGGGCAGGGTGGATCACTTTGTGAGAAGGTGAAGGGTTAACATGCAGGGCTCTCGTAGCCTGTATAGGGAGGGGCAGGGTGGATCACTTTGTGAGAAGGTGAAGGGTTAACATGCAGGGCGCAAGTAGCCTGTATAGGGAGGGGCAGGGTGGGGCACGCTGTTAGGAGGTGAAGGGTTAACATGCAGGGAGCGAGTAGCCTGTACAGGGTGGGGCACGCTGTGAGGAGGTGAAGGGTTAACATGCAGGGTGCAAGTAGCCTGTGCAGGGTGGGGCACGCTGTGAGGAGGTGAAGGGTTAAAATGCAGGGCGCAAGTAGCCTGGGCAGGGTGGGGCACTGTGAGGAGGTGAAGGGTTAAAATGCAGGGTGCAAGTAGCCTGTGCAGGGTGGGGCACGCTGTGAGGAGATGAAGGGTTAAAATGCAGGGCGCAAGTAGCCTGGGCAGGGTGGGGCTCGCTGTGAGTAGGTGAAGGGTTAACATGCAGGGCACGATTAGCCTGTACAGGGTGGGGCACGCTGTAAGGAGGTGAAGGGTTAACATGCAGGGAGGCCTGGGCAGTAGCCTGTACAGTGTGGGGCACGCTGTGAGTAGGTGAAGGGTTAACATGCAGGGCACAATTAGCCTGTACAGGGTGGGGCACGCTGTGAGGAGGTGAAGGGTTAACATGCAGGGCGCGAGTAGTCTGTATAGGGAGGGGCCCTCTGTGAGGAGGTGAAGGGTTAACATGCAGGGCACGAGTAGCCTGGGCAGGGAGAGGCACTCTGTGAGAAGGTAATGGGTTAACATGCAGGGCGCGAGTAGCCTGGGCAGGGTGGGGCATGCTGTGAGGAGGTGAAGGGTTAACATACAGGGCGCGAGTAGCCTGTATAGGGAGGGGCCCTCTGTGAGGAGTTGAAGGGTTAACATGCAGGGCACAATTAGCCTGTACAGGGTGGGGCATGCTGTGAGGAGGTGAAGGGTTAACATACAGGGCGCGAGTAGCCTGTATAGGGAGGGGCCCTCTGTGAGGAGGTGAAGGGTTAACATACAGGGCGCGAGTAGCCTGTATAGAGAGGGGCCCTCTGTGAGGAGGTGAAGGGTTAACATACAGGGCACGAGTAGCCTGTATAGGGAGGGCGCCCTCTGTGAGGAGGTGAAGGGTTAACATACAGGGCACGAGTAGCCTGTATAGGGAAGGGCAGGGTGGGGCACGCTGTGAGGAGGTGAAGGGTTAACAAGCAGGGCACGAGTAGCCTGTACAGGGTGGTACAGGGTGGGGCACGCTGTGAGGAGGTGAAGGGTTAACAAGCAGGGCACGAGTAGCCTGTACAGGGTGGTACAGGGTGGGGCACGCTGTGAGGAGGTTAAGGGTTAATGTACAGTACTGTGAGTGGCTGGAATAGGGAGGGAGAGGATTGTTTGGGTCACACTATGATTGATAATGAGGTAAAATTCTGGCCATCAGTATCATATGAGACATACCAACCTGAGTAGAGGTTGAGCTTTCAACTGCAAGAGAGTACAGTAAACATCTGTCTGGGCTTCGTGTATAATGAGATGGGCGGGGCAGAACATGAATACACCCTAAAATAATTATAAGCTCAGTTGGACACGCTATAATGCAGGACGACTGTGTCTCTGAACATCAAGCTTTATTAATGATTGCATACCTTTAACATACATATTAACTTTAAGTGTATTAAGTATTTATTGATTTTCATTACTGATAGCATTTCGTACATATTTCAGCTGAGTTGTGGCACTCCTTGAAGAAACTGGGAGTTGAGCCCGAGTGAGTTACTGTTTGTATTTCACGTCTTTGTCAGCGAATGAGTTTGTCTGGATTGTACAGAAATTAACATGAATTGTCTACTGGCATGCCATGAATCTTTTTCATTTCTGCAAGTTCTCAGAATGGTTTTAAATCTCAGTCAAAATGATGATGAGATGATAACCTGTAACTGAATGTCTAGAAGTAAACCAACACCCAGTTCAGGTGTTCTGTAACATCTTTTGTGTAGTTTATTTAAAACAGATTTACTTCATGCTTGTTATCTGAGATGAAGATTTGATGAACAGTCTATATGCCGTGGCTTTTGAGTGTCAGGGGGGCGGTGGGGTAGCCTAGTGGTTAAAGCGTTGTCTCGTCACGCCGAAGACCCGGGTTCGATTCCCCACATGGGCACAATGTGTGAAGCCCATTTCTGGTGTCCCCCGCCGTGATATTGCTGGAATATTGCTAAAAGCGGCGTAAAACTAAACTCAGTCAGTCAGTCAGTTTGAGTGTCAGGCCATTGAGTGTCTATGGTATGGATGGAATGCCGACTGTTCTTTATTCACTCTCTCGGTATTATCAGTTCAAGATTTGTATTTACTCAGAAAGCTGCAGGATCCAAGAACATAAGATTATTGGAGGAACCCAACTTAAATGGGGATTGGATGTTTACTGTCACTGTTTTTTAGGGGCTAAGTAGATATCAAGGCCCAAACTGTTACCTGTAATATTGCTTATTGCAGTGTAAACTACATTCACTCATTTGGATGGTTACATTATGTGGATTGGTTGGCTCAGTGACCTCTGGTAGACTGCTTATGCTATCAACCTGTAGTTTATGAGATCCAGAGCTGATTATATACAGTCAGCCATGATTCTAGTTGTTTGTTGTTTGACTCGAAGATCAGCAATATTCAATCTATATGGTGACTGCATGTAAATGATTAAATCTGGACCAGACAAACCAGTGGTTGATATTCTGAACACAACAATGTACTTCATCATTCATCTAATCTCATTCAGCCTTCCTCATCCAACCTTCGGAGATGCAAAGAAGCTCATTACCCAAGAGTTTGTACGGCAAGGCTACATCGAATATATCCGCCAACAAAATGTTGACCCGCCTAGTTTCGAGTTCAAGTGGGGTCAAAGGGCACAGCTGGAGACCTCCAAGAAACACTGTCTTACCTTCGTTAGCCAGGTAGGGAGGGTTCAGCTTGTTTTTTCAGTTTTAGTAAATCAAGACCACACATATTTATTTCACAACTAATTAGCTTAGTATGTTAAGTCAGTATGTGCTAGTATATGCTGCACAATACAGTTGTGCAAATATACTGAGAGAAATAAATAAAGGATCACAGGAGAATTCAAGCGTTCCTTTATTATTTTCCAGTTTTCATCGCCACAGCGCTTTTCAAAGCTGGCGATGAAAACTGGGAAATATTAAAGGAACATTTGAATTTTCTTGTGATCCTTTATTTGTTTCTCTCAGTATAAATAAATGGGTATTTGATAGTGATTCTGTAGCATTTTCACAGCAAACCAAGCAATTTACCCACTCATAGAGTACTGATTCCTGATTGCTTGGTAATAGATTGAACTGGATTTGTTAGCATTATTGAACTGAACGATGTCACTGTTATCTATACTTCTCTACCCTTCGTTCCTGTGTCGTAATAGGCTACTAATGGAACCGGGTGGTCGCTGACTTGGTTGACACGTCATTGTATCCCAGTTGCGTAGAATGATGCTCATAATGTTGATCACTGGATTGTCTGGTCCAAACTCGAATATTTACAGACTGCTGCCATATAGCTGGAATATTGCTAATATAAGCAACAAACTAACCAGTCTTGTGTTCAGGACTGAATAAGCCAAAAATGAAGTCAGTTCTTAAGTGAATACCTTTCAGAAAGAGGTCAAATGTACCATATGTCATTTTTGGGATTACACTTTCTCAGTAAAGTGCACATTCAAGTACTGTTAGGGGTTGAGTCACATGCATGGTTCCAGTTGTTGAACCCGGGCCAGCTAAGGGGGTTAGTGCTGAATTTGTGTGCTAGCAATTAGGTGACTTCATCTGAGCATGTGGATCCCACTGATTTAAGTATTACCTGTGCTTCAGATCTATGACATGGATGCGGAGAGATGGACATCCCAGTTCCAGGACATGGTGGAAACGGAGGGACCCTTGGAGAACGGAAACTGAAGAGTGGACTTGTTTCATGTCACATCTATGTGTGATGTTTATCTTTTGGAGACAAGCACATGTGAGATGGCTTTAATAACACCTGTGTGACACATTGAGACATCTGTGTGATATATCCTAGATGTGTCTGAGATCAGGGAGACAAAGCACATGTGAGATGGCTTTAATAATACCTGTGTGACACATTGAGACATCTGTGTGATATATCCTAGATGTGTCTGAGATCAGGGAGACAAAGCACATGTGAGATGGCTTTAATAATACCTGTGTGACACATTGAGACAACTGTGTGATATATCCTAGTTGTGTCTGAGATCAGGGAGACAAAGCACATGTGAGATCAATGAAACTGACACCTGTGTGAGATCACCAAGTCAAGACACCTGTGTGTGGGACTAGATATTCCAGATGTGTGAGATCACACAGACTGGAGGAGACAAATGTCTGAGGTTAGGGAGACTTGAGAAGAGACAAATGCCTGAGATCAATTAGACCAAACAGGTGAGACAAGAGAGACTAAATGTTCTTACAGACAGTGTACAAATTGACCATATTGATAAGTCATTTGTGAGATCTATTGATATCATGGCGGTTACACTCATATGAGGTGATTAATACAGGACATGTGTGATCACAGAGACTAGACAAGCATGTGAGATCATGGGACTAGACAAGCTTGTGAGATCATGGGACTAGACAAGCATGTGAGATCATGGGACTAGACAAGCATGTGAGATCATGGGACTAGACAAGCATGTGAGATCATGGGACTAGACAAGCATGTGAGATCATGGGACTAGACAAGCATGTGAGATCATGGGACTAGACAAGCATGTGAGATCATGGGACTAGACAAGCTTGTGAGATCATGGACTAGACAAGCATGTGAGATCATGGGACTAGACAAGCATGTGAGATCATGGGACTAGACAAGCATGTGAGATCATGGGACTAGACAAGCATGTGAGATCATGGGACTAGACAAATATGTGAGATCATGAGACTAGACAAGCATGTGAGATCATGGGACTAGACAAGCATGTGAGATCATGGGACTAGACAAGCATGTGAGATCATGGGACTAGACAAGCATGTGAGATCATGGGACTAGACAAGCATGTGAGATCATGGGACTAGACAAGCATGTGAGATCATGGGACTAGACAAGCATGTGAGATCATGAGACTAGACAAGCATGTGAGATCATGGGACTAGACAAATATGTGAGATCATGGGACTAGACAAGCATGTGAGATCATGGGACTAGACAAGCATGTGAGATCATGGGACTAGACAAGCATGTGAGATCATGGGACTAGACAAATATGTGAGATCACGGGACTAGACAAGCATGTGAGATCATGGGACTAGACAAGCATGTGAGACTCATGGGACTAAACTCACCTGTTAGTATAGACTGGACACAAGTGAGGGATCATGAAGTATGGATGCATGATTGGGACAGTGGAGCTTTGTGATCTCATGAAGACTGGAAATATGTGTGAAACTGTTGAGAACTGTCACTGCTACAACAGTTGTTGTGATGGAATCGACACACCTGTGCAATGTAGAGAATGGTCACAGCTATAAATGGTTGTTATAGTGCTTGGACCCTGTGCAATGTAGAAACTGTGGAGATCAGTCACGAATACAACATTTGTTACAGTGCTATAGACACACCTGTGCAATGCGGAGATCAGTACTTGTTACAACAGTTGTGATGGTACTGGTTGTACCAGCACGCCTGTACAATGTGTCACTTCTACAACACCTGTGCAATGTGGAGACTGGAGATTGGTCCTGTTAGTGTTACAACAGCTGTGACAGCTACAAGAGTTGTTACAGTGATACTGCTGTGCAATGTGGAGTCTAGGAAGATCGGTTGCTGTTGCAACATCTGCTACAGGTTTCTTGACACACATGTTCAATGCAAGACAATTTAGAGTGATGCATCCACAGCATTCTTTGAGAAACTGTCTTGTGTGGCAAATGTAACAGTATGTGCCTATGTATAAACACAACATATAGTGACAACGGACTCTGATACTAAACTCTTGATCTGATGACAGCAGTACAGCTGATGTACCCAGTGACATCTGGGAGAATTGTTGTCTCCCCTTGCTGTGACTCAGTGTGTGGATTGTGTAGTTCACTGGAGCCCAGATATGTTCAGATGTTGGTTGTGTACGTTTGGGGCCTGGGGTTCACTTCTGATGTGGGAAAACAACTATCCTCAACTCATTATCTCACATGTTGATTTCATGTGTGTGAGAATTTGTCTTCAGCAACCCATGCTTGTCGTAGGAGGCGATTAACGGAATCAGGTGGTCGGACTCGCTGAATTGGTTGACACATGTCATTGTATCACAATCACGTAGTTTAATGCTCATGCTGTTGATCATGGTATTGTCTGGTCAAGACAAACTGCTGCCATGTGGCTGGATAATTGCCGAGTACAGCTGTTAAAATCAAATAAACAAACAAAACATTTAATGTTTCGTTGTTTTGTATTTGCTCTCAATTCCTCATGTTTTTGTCAGATCATCCCATTCTTTGTTATGAATTAGTGAACAAAATCAACCAACATTCAAAACTAAATGAAAAGTACAATTTAATTTACCACTAGTAAACAGTTCCACTTTCACTGTGAATGTTTTGGTTTTTGTAAACTGACACAGCATGATCAGTGTCAAATCACTGTTACCATTTTGAAACAGAATATCCTCCAGCCTTTCAATGAGATAATTTATTTATATGTTAAAAGGTTAATTTTAAAAAACCAGTCAGCCACCTTCAGATATTGTGATGTACTAATTCAAAAATAAGAAGCCTTAATTCATCTATCTGACAGGAGACTTTGTTCAAAGAGGTGAATAACTTCACATGATGCTACAGAGTAATAGCATATCACATATGTTTGTATTTAATATATACTTCAATAAAAGTTTGTATTTAATTTATATCTGAATCATCAGGTAACTTTGGGTTTTGCCCCAGGATGCATGCAACAATTGGATTTGAAGCTTTACCTGCATCTCTGTCAATAATGTTTGAATATTTCATCATTTGATAGTCATACACTGATGTTCCTTAATGCATTGTTGGTTTAAATAAAATATATAAAGAAAAGCTAATTGTGTTTTGTCGGGAAGGTGTATACAGTTGACACCTATGTACACTGCTGAAGAGCTTCACCTAAAGAATATATAAATGTGAGTTATTCTTGAAGTACTACCAAGTCCTAAGTATAGAACACACTCTGAAATGTTTCAGTCTATGTATTTATGAGCCCCTGATTTGGGATGAGGGTTTGAACTTTCCAAGCTGGTTGTCACACTACCAGGCCAACTGCCTGTCATTGAGCGACCCGTGAAGATCCGGGGTAGAATAGGTCTTCAGCAACACATCCTTGCCACAAAAGGCGACTATGCTTGTCGTAAGAGGCGAATAACGGGATCGGGTGGTCAGGCTCGCTGACTCATCGGTTCCCAATTATGCAGATTGATGCTCATGCTGTTGATCACTGGATTGTTTGGTCGAGACTCGACTATTTACAGACCGCCGCCATATAGCTGGAATATTGCTGAGTGCGGCGTAAAACTAAACTCACTCACTCACTCACTCACTCACTCACTCACTCACTCACTCACTCACTCACTCACTCACTCACTCACTCACTCACTCACTCAAACTGTCATTGAGGCCCGGCAGCAGAGATTGGAAAAGGTTGATTGATTGTTTGTTGTTTAATGCTGCGCTCAACAATATTCCAGCTATATGGCGGCTGTCCGTAAGTACTGGAGTCTGGCACAATGTGTGCAGCCCATTTCAGGTGTCCGCACAGTGATATTACTGGAATGCCCCCACTGTGATATTGCTGGAATGTCCCCACCCTGATATTACTGGAATGTCCCCACCCTGATATTACTGGAATGTCCCGATGCTTATATTACTGGAATGTCCCCACCCTGATATTGCTGGAATGTCCCCACCCTGATATTACTGGAGTGTCCCCACGCTGATATTACTGGAATGTCACGACGCTGATATTACTGGAATGTCCCCACCCTGATATTACTGGAATGTCCCCACGCTGATATTACTGGAATGTCCCACCCTGATATTACTGGAATGTCCCCACCCAGATATTACTGGAATGTCCCACCCTGATATTACTGGAATGTCCCCACCCTGATATTACTGGAATGTCCCCACCCTGATATTACTGGAATGTCCCCACGCTGATATTACTGGAATGTCCCACCCTGATATTACTGGAATGTCCCACCCTGATATTACTGGAATGTCCCCACCCTGATATTACTGGAATGTCCCCACCCTGATATTACTGGAATGTCCCCACGCCTGATATTACTGGAATGTCCCCACGCTGATATTACTGGAATGTCCCCACCCTGATATTACTGGAATGTCCCCACGCTGATATTACTGGAATGTCCCCACCCTGATATTACTGGAATGTCCCCACCCTGATATTACTGGAATGTCCCACCCTATGTTACTGGAATGTCCCCACCCTGATATTACTGGAATGTCCCCACCCTGATATTACTGGAATGTCCCCACCCTGATATTACTGGAATGTCCCCACCCTGATATTACTGATATTACTGGAATGTCCCCACCCTGATATTACTGGAATGTCCCCACCCTGATATTACTGGAATGTCCCCACCCTGATATTACTGGAATGTCCCCACGCTGATATTACTGGAATGTCCCCACCCTGATATTACTGGAATGTCCCCACCCTGATATTACTGGAATGTCCCCACCCTGATATTACTGGAATGTCCCCACCCTGATATTACTGGAATGTCCCCACCCTGATATTACTGGAATGTCCCCACCCTGATATTACTGGAATGTCCCCACCCTGATATTACTGGAATGTCCCACCCTGATATTACTGGAATGTCCCCACCCTGATATTACTGGAATGTCCCCACGCTGATATTACTGGAATGTCCCCACCCTGATATTACTGGAATGTCCCACCCCGATATTACTGGAATGTCCCCACGCTGATATTACTGGAATATTGCTAAATCAGCGTAAGCCATACTCTCTGACTCAAGGTGTGCAGTACAAATCCGCATACCTTGTAAATGATAATGCAAACAATTGTATGTACTTCCAACGCATTAATGCCTTTAACATTCACTGATTATAATTAAAGTACACAGTTAGTAAAGTTGTACATTGCATTAAGTGTATCAGACATTTGTAGACAACCTTATTGTAGAGGTCAAAGCAAAAGATACTATGTCCCCTATTATAGCATTTTACCAAACACACTCGCTGGTCTGTAGATATGGCTGATCACATATTTTCTTCATGACGTATCTAACAATTTTATACACAAAAGTATCACTAGTATTACATTATCACA